TGTCTGTGTGTGTGTGTCTGTGTGTGTGTGTCTGTGTGTGTGTGTGTCTGTGTGTGTGTGTCTGTGTGTGTGTGTGTGTGTGTGTGTGTGTGTGTGTGTGTGTGTGTGTGTGTGTGTGTGTGTGTGTGTGTGTGTGTGTGTGTGTGTGTGTGTGTGTGTGTGTGTGTGTGTGTGTGTGTGTGTGTGTGTGTCTGTGTGTCTGTGTCTGTGTCTGTGTGTGTGTGTCTGTGTCTGTGTGTGTGTGTGTCTGTGTCTGTGTGTGTGTGTGTCTGTGTCTGTGTGTGTGTGTGTGTGTGTGTTCAGTGTCTAGGCGTCTGGAAGTTAACTGATGAATATTAAATAATTGAGAACTTATATTTGATAATTTACTTAATATGTATTTAATATACATAGAAAGCCAAGTACTGGACAGATTATGGAAACCAATTGAGTCATAATAATGTATATTTTAAATTGATACGATTTTGTTTTGTAACTTTAAATATTTTTATTACAACTAACAAACTATAGTATTACTATACTAATTAGTGCCAAATTTAGTGAGTTGAACAGAAAACAAATAGAACTAATAAATAATATTACAAACCATGTTTTGACCCAAAAAAAAAAAGAAGATTTAAATAATATTAATGATTTTGTCAAATAATATTAATATCAATTTATTTAAATTTCCATCTTATTTTATATTAAAATATATAATTCACAGCAGTTAATTATTAGATTTTAAAACAATTTCATTAATTTTGTTATTAGATTAAAAGTAAATAACAATTTATTGATATAGTGCTGTATATTTTATGTAAATAAACAAACTAACTCAACATATATTTTTAATATATTCATTTTTTTTTTTTTTTTTTTTGTTATTATTACCAAATTTAATTTTAAGCTTTTATTTTATTTTCACAAATATTAAATATTAGATTTATATTATTAATTAACTAATCAAAACAATTATAAGCATTTAAAATTAAATTGAATACAGTTGATTTTTATAATATGAAATTAACTTATGTTAACAACTTGACATTCTTTCCATCTAAAATTAAAAAAGTTTAGAATTTATAACTAATTTATTTAATAGGTGATATTTATTAATATTGATATTAAGTATTATATAGATTCATGTGCATTCTATGTGGAATTCCATAACTTCTTTATATTTAGTTAAAATTAAACATAATGTTTAGCTAAAAGTAATATTTATTAACATTTTAACTTTGTTATAAAAAAATGAAAAAACTTAAAATTAATAAATTTTGTATTTTGAGTCAAAACAAAGTTAAATTTATACTTGGTAGAGTTCAGTGTTATTTAATTACAACACGTCTAAAACAATGTGTAGTGCACGTGATTATTATTAGGTTTAATTATTATTTATTGTAAGAAAGTTCATTTTTAATTCACAGTATTTAATTTCACGACATATCATCCATCTCAATTCTTCTAATTACCTGAAGCAACAATGGTCTTCTCTGCATTTGAACGCCCATAAGACTGTGTGGTACCATATCACTGTGTGGTAAAGGAGCCCTCATACGGACCTGAAGGGGGGCCACATTAGTTAATGAAATCCCAATTTGTTATAAATTGCGTTTATTATCAAGCACATAAATTAGAAATATTTCACCCAACATTAAATAAACAAAATAAAACAATATATTTTTTCCTTTCCTTAATTTTTACAATTACACATAAATTATACATGTTTTTAAAAAATATATAAATCAGATCAGATGATGTTATCAAATTAAATAAATATTTAACAAACGTATGGTTCAATTGAAAAATGCATGCTTTCTGTCTGAAAGTCTACGAAAAAAAAATATCTAAATGCAAAATAAGAGAAACCACTGAAGGGATTACAACAAATAATTAAACTACTATTATGCTATGATAATGATAAATTATAAAATAATATAAATAAAACTTTACCTGATGTTGTCCTGGGTATGGCGGAGGAGGTCCTGGATAAGGTGGAGGAGGAGCCAACTGACGGGTTTGTTGAACTGTCCCTTGTTGTACAATCTGCTGAGAACCTATTAAACGATTGGGCACAACTGTACGCTGCATTTGAATTAATCGCTGTTGTTGCTGAATAGAGACTAAAAATCGAAATAGGAACAACAATATATAATTTTAAATGTATCAATAGAAAAATTAAAATTTAATATATTACCTTGTCCAATTGGTGACATTTTAGGTATTTGATTATCTCCAGAAAAATTTGACATGAAATTCATATTATTTTCTCTGTTCTGCATCACATTACCTATTTGATTATCTTGAACAATCTAAAATTATACAAAATTAAATTATTATATATCAAATATTTTTTTTAAATATATATTACTTGTGCATTAACAACATTTTGTGAAGTTTCAAGTTTTGGAGAATGAATAATATCTTGTTCAAACTTTTCAATTCCTAATACTGCTACACTATTTTGATCTTTTCTATGATTCAAACTACTCAATCTCTGTAGATCATCCACTTCTTCTTTAGGTTGTTTTGTCTCAATTTCTTCTGAAGACTTATCATTTGGTACTGTTTTATTGTGAGTACTCTTATTGGATTCCTCGTCATCAACAAGATCATATAAGATATTAGTTTTGTTACCACAATCTAAATTATCAAGTTCTGGATCAGCGTATTCCAATATATTAAAGTCAGCTCCCATTTCAGCTAAATACACACATATTTTTAATAATTTATTATCATGTATATAAAAAAGATTAGGTATATTGATAGATAATTTACCTAAAAGTTCATCGTCATCATCTAAATCACCCAAAAGGGCATTGACACCATCAACTTCACCAATATTATTTGGATCTCCTTCTTGTTGTAGTTTTTCTAATTCATCCCTAACACTATCTGTAATTTCTTCACTTCTACTATCTACATTATCAGCACCTAAAACATAAATTTAATTATAGTATTAACTTATATATATGAAATATTCTGTTATATAAAGTTATATTACCATTAATAGAATTTTGCTGAGACTGGTGCTGTAATATATCACCATGTCTACCAACAGATACATTTTGACCAACTATAGATTGGGACATTGAACTAGGATCATTTATAATTGATGAAACTTCATTAATTGGCGCTTGATATTTCTGGTCTAGACTTTCAGATCTTTCTACTAGAAGAAAGTAAATTTTAATTACAAATAATACATTAAATATTTTATTATATTATATAAATTAAATAAATACCTGAAAATGGTTGTTGCTGTTGCTGTTGTTGTTGCAACTGCTGATGTTGCTGTTGATGCTGCTGTTGTTGTTGCAACTGTTGTTGTTGTTGTTGAAGCTGTTGTTGCTGTTGTTGCTGTTGTTGCTGTTGTTGCTGTTGCTGTTGTTGTTGCTGCTGTTGCTGTTGTTGCAATATTTCATATGGCCTAGAAGTTTGTTGTGTCAACGCTTGTTGTGTAATTGGATTTTTAATACCAGATACAAATTGTTGAGCATTTATATTATTATTAATAACTGCACCAGTAGTAGTTGATCGTTGCTGTTGAATTAACAACCGAATTCGTGGATCTGATAGCTAAAAATTTAATTGATGATGATAGTTTTTAAAACAAAAAATTAAAATATAAAATATCTTACTTGGAATTTTTGATCTTGAACTCTGTGCCGAATAACCATTTGAGCATTTGGAGTACCCATTGGCTGAAAAGGCATACGTTGAGTCTTAACAGCACTTGGAGGTAAAGGCTGGCGAAATGTTGGTCCTGAGGATGGAGTTTCAAAATCTTGATTTGGTACACTTTGAGAGCTAATTTCTTGATTTGGTGTATCTTCAGTATTCCATACACGCTGATCAGCCGGTGTTTCTTTTTTAAATTGCTGTCTTTGAAGTAATTCCCTCAAATGTCTTGTCATTTCTTGATTAGCTTGAGGTGATGAAAATACGTCTTCTCGACCTCGTGGAGATGTAGGATTAAAATGAACGTTTCTTTGTTGTTGAACAGCAGAAGTTGAAGATATTGGTGGACTAAATAAGTCTGTTGGTCCAGGTGTTGACTGTGAACGTGTATATTGAGGTGACGGTGATGCTGACGCAGGACTCACAACTCTAGTTACTTTCAATACAGGTGAAGGATATGGAGATCTAGATTGTTGTTGAGAATTCACACTACTGGGACTTTGTAAGGGAGTTAAAGAACCATCCTACAAAATTGAATTAATAAATTAATTTACTAATACTTAATATAAACATAATTAATTTAATTTACCTGATTAGTAGCAACTTGTAATTGAGTAGTCAAATTTGGCGTGTGAATCAACACTTGTTGATCAGAATTAGTAAATTGATTAGTATCAATAGAAAGATTTCTTTGATGAACTGATATACTTCTTTGATATACTATAAAATTATAAAATTATATATATATTTATAAACCAAAGAAAAAACTAATTAAACAGTAAAAAACATTAAATAACATACCTCCTTGAGTACGTTGGTCTTGCATGACTTGCTGCTGTTGGGCAGCTTGTGCCTGTTGTTGTCGCATTGCTTGTAACTGTTTCCACTGGCGTTCATTTTCAGCTTCACGTGACCTTTGTTGAGATATCATTTTATCTTGATCCTATTACCATACAATATGAAACTTAAGTTAATTATATTTCTAAATTTCATTGTAAAAATGAAAACTCAATAAGTTTGAAAATATGAAGAAACAAATATAAGTATAAATTAAAGCTCATTATTATTTTTTTATTATTAATGCATCTGACGAAACAAACAAATAAGGATAATAAATTATATTTTATTTATACATTTAGAAGAAAATTCACCAGAATCCCATTTGGTTTGTACATATTACATACATAAACACTTATTGTTTAAATCTATATATGTATTTTTGTGTACCCCTATAAAATTACATCCACTAACTATGTTTTTGTTAAATAATATATTAATATATATTTATATTGATAAATTGTATTAAATATTATCCATACACCAACCAATTTAAATAACTACAGTACTAAAAAAAATTAAAAGTAAGCTTTGTATTCTAAATAATCTAATTTACTACACAGTACACACCATGCTAATATTCATAACTAACCAACAGCGCTTATTATGCCAAGTATAAAATAAATTCATCAGAATTATAAGCCAAATACTTAAAATATATTTTTAATTGAAGATTTAAAAAAAAAAACCCAGGCAAACCCCAAACTTTCAATGTTTGATATAATATATATGTTTTAAAAACTACCAGACTTGTTTAAAGGGTTCAAATACAGAAAAAAATGTAACCAATGTAGCAGTTTGCTAGAAAAAAAATAGCAGCTATTTGCAATAAAATTTATCATAATTTGTAAAAATTTAATTTATTCATAAAGTTAATAAAGTTGAACAATAACTTTTGTAAATATGAGATATAGCTTATTTTTAAAAGAATTTTCTATATACTGTTTGATTTATATTTAAATTGTTAACATTTTTTTTTTTTAACCATTGCTAAAATAAAAATATAACAAAATAAATTAAATAGAATGCAATAAAATTTAATTTAAAAAAATTCTTGGTTAAAATAACATACAATAAAATTTAATTCTAATTGCATTTGGCCAATACTTTATTTGCAATAAGTCAACCTATTATTACTATAATTCAAATCCATCACCAAAAATAGTTTACAAACATAATAGTCAGCAATATGTTAAGACACCATATGTAAAATTAAACAAATAACAACATTTGATAATTTTCACATAAAAAGATAAAAATTATAACTTATGTAATTAAATAGTAAATACAAAGATTATTTATGGATTTAGAAGCAATATAAGAGTAGCTGGGAATATACTAAAAAACAAAAAAAAAAAAATAGAAGAGGCTGAACAGTCAAATATCCAAAGAAAATCATTTCCCAGAACGTGCAAGTGAACGCTCACCACAGGGTCATAAGTCTCTTGACCGAGGGACGGGAGTGTACGCATTATCTCAGACGGTGTTAGTACACGTATTTGTTGGTCAGACAGCGGAGGTGAAGTGCTGACTGAATTGTTAGTACTGCTAGCAGTTATGTTAGTTTTAGCGCCCTCAGTGCCAGCTGATGATGATTCATTTCTTACCAACTGTACATTACGTATTGTGCCAGTTGGCTGTGATGTGATTATATGTAATAGGTTATTACGTGAATCAGTTTGATTTTTAGTATCTAATGTAGCTAGTATTGAATTGGACATTATTAATGATGGAACTGTTTGTATAATGTGAATACTATTTGGGGGATAATGCAAAGTTCCCCTTTCAGATGAACCCGATGCTACATATTGATATTGAATTGGTTCAGACGAATTCTTCTCAGCAGGAATGATATGAATAGTTCTTAAATTAACAGGATTAGGAGAAGGAGGATTAGGTAAAACTGGTATATATTGTATAGTAGATGGGTGAGTAGGAATAGTTGTAGGAAATGTTTGCTGAGGTGGGTTAGATTCAGGTTCAGGATCAGAAGGCTGTGGAGATTGTGAGTTAGTATGACCATCACCAGCGGCAATTAGTATTGCGGGTTGCATCAGTTCTTTGGTGGGACACACCTCTCCATTGTTAATTGTCGGACTCTGGGTAGCACTAGATGTTGAACTGGTCCTGTTGTCGCCACTGGTACTGTCTTCCTTCACGGCCTGTTTGTGTTGTTATAGAACGGGTGCCATTAAAGAAACAAATCCCAAAAGCAATAAAATGAGAACATATCAACTAAAGATGCTAACACTCTAATGATGGATATCAAATTGTGTTTTTGGATCAGCATTGAGAAAATAACATGTTGAAAATGTAATTTTTTCATAATCATATATTTATTAAAACAAAAAAAAAAAATAATTATATCATATAATTATTTAATAGTTGAAAATCATATACTAATTAATTACCTATAAATAGGAATGGAAAAAAAAGCTCATAAAATATATTCTTAAAAATGAAAATATTACAAAATTTCAAGAAGAAAAAACTTGATTACAAAAAATCAGATTATAAAACTATTTATTATATACAATTGTGTTTATAAGATATAATATAAAATAATCCTATCAGATAACCTAATCAAGTCAACAAATTTCAAAGCATTCAATTATATTACTATATGAAACTTTGAGTATACATTAAATTGTACTAAACAAAAATATATATAAATAAAAACTGTTAAGAATTCTTTTTTTTTTAATTTATCAGTAAATTATTCAAACAAAAATTAATAAATATATGATTTTTTTTTTCTATGAAATTCAATTTAACTGTATTGATTTTCATTAATTAAAATTATATCTAAAAAATATTTTCAACAAGTGTCATGAAGGAAATAATCTATGTGCTTAATCCTAAAAAAATGTGATGATTGAAACAGGATATTTTGAAATTGTTAAATAATAGTTTCCCTTGAGGATCCTAGTACTATAATTCTATTTATTAAATATATTTGGGTTTGTGTGAACTGTATAAATCTAAAAACTGCAGTGTAAAAATTACTAGTGCTTCAATATTATCAATAACTAGACATAACCAATAAAATAAAACCAATATTGTTTTAATTTATCTGTTTTTAATGAATCCCAAAAATGTGCAAAACGCTGTAATTTGTGATTGGCCTAAAACACATAAGTAATATGATGTGTCATACACTTTAATTACCAAAAGCGCTTTGGCCAAGTCACATAAGCACACACAAATAAATTTTAAACTTAAGCCCCAATAAAAAAGCTTCATTTTTTGTAGAGGAACTTTTAAAAATACCATGTATAATCTTCCTATGTACATATACATATTTTTTCTCGCTAGATATTATGGTAGATAAGCTCTCGGGATAAATGCTAATATTAGTCCATGAATTTCACATACCATTATATGATATGGTGCTTGATAAAATTAATTTTCCTCAACAAAAATTTTGCAAAAACTATAATGCTTACCTGTTGCGCTTTTTTCTGTCTCAAATTAGTTCTATTTTCTCTTGCTTTTAACAAAAATGGACTTTTTTGTTCAGGAGACAATGTTCTCCACTTCTTTAATATTTGTCTTGATCTTTCAGGCCAAGCTAAACATTTCAAAAAAAAAAAATTAACATAGTATAAAGTTCTAAAATAAATATATATCATACAAGGAAATTCTGTTTTCCATTCAGGATGGGTAACATTAGCATAAAGTACAGCTGATATTGAAGCTTTAGGTCCTAATGCTTCATCTGCTTCCATTTTTTGAGAATTTCTTTGGCTAGTATTTATTGCTGATGACTGAGATCCAACACCTTCTAAGCTATCTTCACCACCACTATTTTGAACCCAAGGACTATGAGGTTCAGAAAATGCTGGACTAAATTGAGATGGACTACTAAAAAGTTAAATAAAAATGTTTATATTGTTATATTTGTAAAAAGAACATTGTTTATTATAAATAAAAAAATAATGATAATAAATTATTATTACTAACTTGCTATATTCAGAATGATATGGAGACATTGCTGGATAGATAGGAGAAGGCATATTGGTTACTACAGGTGGTAATGCTGGAGCTGGTACTTTCCCACGAGACATATTATTCGGTACACCTAATAATTTTTAAATTAGTTACTTTAAATATTTAATTATAATAAACATGATTTACCGGTACGAGATGGAGACATTATTGGAGCATGATTTTGATTTTGAACCATTACAACTCCATTTTGAGCTGGAGGTATGGCAGCTATATTATTATTACTTATTAATAACATATTAGAGCTACTCGGATCTTGAGATTCTTGTGAAGCGTCATCAGTTAAAACAACTTTGAAAATCTCTTCTACATCCTTACTATCCATATTTGGTAAGCCTGAATTGAAATACAATTTTAATTTGATAATTTTCACTAAGAAACGATAAGTTTAGAAACTAAAAAAAAACGATTTTTATCATTAAATAAAAAATATGTGATATTTTATTAAATATACCAATAATACCAAGATAATAATTTATGATATGATAAAGAAATAGTTAGATTCTGTTGTCATTGATTATCTAATAAAATGAATAATCCAAAGAAAGTGAAAATAAATTTTCTTAAATATAAAACTCTAATTAAACTAAAACCATGGTTATCCATTTACTTAACCATGTTCTTTATTGTAAATACTTATACTTCAATGAATAAATAAATACCCATTAAGCAATTAAGGTCTTATATTTCTGTTTAACTTACTATTATTTAAAAAATATGTGATATAGACCATTTTTATAACTATTATACTTGATGAAATTTTATTTTTAATTGTAAAAATTAAGAATAAAAATATGAATAAGAATTAAATAAGCAAATATTGAGATAAATCTAAAATAATAAAAAAATGTATTAACCTGTCTCTCTGACCATAGAATCAAGATTAAAGTGAGAACCTAGAATTTCACTAAATTCATCTTTTTGAGCTGAAGTGTTAGTTTCGCTTATATCAGGTTCTTCCACTACTAAACCAGTATCTAAGAAAAATATTACAAGTTAAATACCAATTTGTGTTGATATGATTTATTTAAAATACCTTCCATTTCTGTCTTAATACTTCTACTTTGTTCATTCATAATTGAATCTAATAAATTATCAGACAGCAAAATATCTTTAAGTGTATCATTTTCATTTGTTGCCGGTATTTCCTTTTTCTAGAAAAATAGAAAAATCAAAAAACATAAATTTATAATAGTATCCACGTGATATTCATCAAAAAATAATTATTTTTTACAAATTTGCATGCCAGGTAAATATTTATAAGCCGGGTTAAGATTTTATAGCATTTACATATTTTTTATGAGATGTTTAAAATATAGCAGAGTAAGCTAAAAATGTGAATCATGATACAGAAAGCTCAAATTAAAAATTGTATTTTATATATTTTGTGACTTTTTAATTTTTAGTGCTTTTTTTGGACTTGTTGAGACTTTTTTACATTATTACCTACTTTTAAAATCAAAATAGATCATATTTTATGAAATTATATTTTAGTACGGGTTTTTAGATTTTTGTCAATCAAAATCATCAAGTAAATTGTAAATGTTTAGATTAAGTAAATAGACCAGTTACGTTGATGTAACATCATACAATTACAGTAATAATATAATATTACAATAATTTTGTATTAGGTATTTGGTTTTAAATTTGGTTATCAGCTGGTTTTGATTGGTTTTTTTTTTTGTCTATTTATAGTGTACAATTTTTTTATTTTGCTTATTTGTTGTTTTAATTGCATATTCTTAATGCATATTTAGTAATATTTAAGGTAATATAACGCAAATTTATGACATTTTAAAAGTGCTATAAAATCACAACCCTGTTTATAAGAAATTAAACTTAAATAACTATTTTAATTTAATGTAACTTGCAAATGTGCTGCTATATAAAAGAAATATATAAACTGCTTTATACAAAAAAATACAGTAAGCATCAACTAGAAATTGTTTTTCTAACATATTCTTATCAGAAAAAACTAACTTAAATTTCATATATTGAAACTCATTGTATTCCGTTAAAACGATTAAGAAACATTACTCACATAGCTTTCATTGAAACGGAAGTAAAAGTAATGTATAATAGTATAATTATAGAAATTTAATTTTAATTTTCAAATTTATATATAGAATACTTATTCATTTATAAATAGCTTAAAATTGTAGGTAGAAATATTGTACAAGTTTGGAAATATTTTAAAAATATTTTTAAATCTAAAATTGATTACAATAAATATTTAACAAAGCTTTAAAATTAAATATCTTCTCACAAATATAACTTTTCCATCCAGTTACTTACTCACATCAGCTCTTTTAAAAACATTTAACTTACTTTTTCAGCAACCTTTGGTTGTTCATTGAGTTCAATTATCTCTTTCTTAATATTAAAACATTTATTAACCACATCTTCTTTTGTTTGTTGTTTAACTTTAATATCTTCCATAATTTTCAATTCAGCCTAATAAATGAATGTAAAAATTATTTAATGTAAATTAATTAATGTTACATAAAAAAACTTTTAATGTAATAAAATTTAACCTGAGAAAGTTCAATTGTTTTGTTATCTTCTTCTTTTTCTTCTACTTCTTCAGACTCACTACTATCCAAAATCTGTGCAGCAACATTACAGGCATCCAACAAATCACGACCAAAAAATGCATCTTGTATATAGTTTGGGTAATTTTCAGCAATTTTACTCTTAGGTTTTTTCCACCGATTTTGTTTTCGCCTTGGTTTATTATCTTCACCATCCCCATCTTGAGTATTATCTTCATCTTTATCTTTAGCTCGGGGCATACGACCTCTAACAACAAATCCACCAATACCTAATTTTTGAAGATTTCTAACTCGTTTTCGACGCAGAACCATTACACCCGAATCTAATGTTAAAATACTAAAACCTTCAGGTGGTTCAGGAGGACGACCATCATCACGTGGCTGTATTGTCATCCCTTCTTTATAAATAGGTTCTGGTTCACTTGGTTCTTCTTTAATGTCATCAAAATCCATCTTATAAGCATCATCATGATCTAAAGAATCATTAATAGTATCTAAAAATAAATTTAATAAACGTTTTTAAAATCACAAAAGTATAATATAAATAAATGATCTAAACAAATAAAATTTTACCTCTACTATTACACACAACAGATTCAATAGCTGCCATAATAGCAGCTTCTTTTTCCAATTGTGCTTTTTTTAAGTCTTTTCGCTTTTTACGTTGATGTGATATTTCTATACCACTTGTTAGAAACTTCATATGTTGAAAACCCGATTCAGATAAATGAATTCCATCCATAAAGCATTCATTATTCCCTTTAGCTGCATCTGGACTATTATCACGTGATGAAATTTTCTGTTTAATTTTAGGACTTGAGATATGTGCTAAATGTGCTGGAACTGTTCCACGAGGACGACATAGTAAACAACTATAGCCATCTTCTGCACATTTTTCTGCGTCATCTTCGTTTTCAATTTTATCACATTTTCCATGAAGCCATCTAAAAAACAAAATGTAAAAATCATAATTTTGAACTAAAATTTTAGTAATATTAAATATAAAAATATACCGATCACACTGGGAACACTTAATAATCAATTGACTATCAGTATAAGATTCTTGACATGATGGACAGATGCTACGAGATGCACAAGGTCCACATTCAGTATAATTATTCAACCAAGAACAATTGAAGCCTGGATCATTTGAACCACAAGTCAAGCATTGAGCACACCTTTAAAAATAAAATTTTTAATTAAATTCAATTTAACTAAAAAATTAATTTATAATACTTACCACTTGCATTTCCAAGTACCTCTAGGGACATAATCAAGTTTTGGATCAGTACAATAAATATGATAAGAAATATCGCATTCATCACAAAGAATAAGTCTAGACTCATCATTACGTTGCCCACACCCTTCACAAACTGTACAATCTAAACATCTCCATCCTTTTTGAAGAATAACTTTGGTTACCTATTAAATAAAATAATCAAGATAAATAAAATATTTGAAAATCATAATTGTGTACATTAACTTACTTTAACATTCACGCAAAAAGGATGATAGCACTGACCACACTGAGAACACGAAATAAGACATGCTTCTTGGTCTGTACCTAAAGATCCACACATAACACATATATCTTGACCAAGTACAAATTTATCTTTAGCAGAGCATAAAACAATTCGATTTTCATTATTTGGGTCAATATCAGTTGAAGAATTTTTGGAGTTTATGTCAGATGAAGGCCTCTGTAAAATAGTTTTAAATAAGTTCAAATTGATAAAACTTGAACAAAATTTTTTAACTACTAACTTGTAATCCAAGACCAGGTACACCAAAAAGGCCTCGCATTCTTCCTCGAGGTCTTTTTCTAGGAAATTCTACAAGGCGTTGTCCCTTTTTCTGGTACATGGGTTTTAATGCAGCAGTGAGTTTTCCTAAACCTTTAGCACGCCCAGCATATCCAGATAGCAGTAACCGTTTCTTAGTTACTTTGCATGCAGCATATGGTTTTCCTTTACCCAAACCATAGCCACCCATTCGACCAACATCATCAAAATCTTTATTACTCTATAGAACAGAATACAGAATTTTCTAACTATTTATTAATTTATTTAATCATTATTATATACCTTGAACTCTAAGTCATGTTCAGGTTGATTAACATCTATTGAACTATTTGAATCTCCAAATTCTTCATATCCATCACGGCGCTGCTGTACAGCATTTTTACATAAAGGACACATATACTCAGATGCTGAGCTTTTGCTGTGGCTAGTTATATACTCAGCCTCTGGATCACAAGCACCATGTATATATTTTCGACATGATATGCATTGAACCATTTCTCGATGAGCAGCAGCTCGATAAGCTCGATGACAAAGTGGACATGAAGAACCTTTATTACGTTGCTGATAACAAGAATCACAAACTGTATAATGAGCATGCCATCGAGATGATAACCCAGCACCTGGGGTACGAGAACCACAATCTGTGCATACTCGACAACACTGAAATAAAATAATAATAAAAATAGTCAATATTGATTGATATTCTAAGCACAATTTATAAAACTTAGTAAACACTCAATAAAATTTGAATATCAAATTAATAATAAAAGAATAGTGGATGTGTATTGAATTACTTTGCATTTCCATCCAATTTTAGGTATAGTTGTCACTTGAGGTCTTAAACATCCAGGATGATAAGCTTTATCACAACCTTCACATAACATAACTTTAGTCTGTTCAGCTGGTTGCCGACAAACTTGACAAATTCGACAATTACCACATTGCCATCCAGCTCTTACTCCTTAGAATTTAAAATATTTAAAATAAAAAAAGCAAACATAAAAATAACTTAATTGCTCATACCTGGGAGTAGAGCTAATCCAATACAAACACCATGGTAATGGTTACCACATACTGTACACATCATTAAATTAGAAACGTCTCCAAGAGTTGAGCAAATACCACAAGCAACATTGGCAGAAAGTTCTATAATCAAATAATCAATTAACACAAATTTCAATAACATTCCAATACTATAATTACCCATTAAAGGAACATGGTCAAGATGAGAATTGCATATTAAAGCTGGTACACTCATCTCTTGAAAAGAAGCAGAAGCAAAAATACAAGGATAGTGAAAATATTTCAAACAATTAGTGTATGTACATGGAGCACTGGCACCTAAATGGCCACAGTAAGAACATCGTCGCATTAAGCTCTCCAAAATAAGTTCAGGTACATTTTCCAATGAATCAGATGCATCAGATTTTACACCTTGAGTCCAGGAAGCACAAAATTGATGTACATAAACATAACCATTTGATTCAAATTGTTCATATAATGTGTTTAAATCAGGAACATCCAAATGACCAATAACACTAAGTTCATCCACAGGTTCAAAACTACAGGTTGAAAATTGTTGTTGTCTAAAAGTAATGGTAAAACAAAATTTCATGATAAATTAATTGTATTAATATATTTGAAAATACTATAGTGCAAGTTATTGATAATAAGTAGAATTTATTTAACAATATGAAAAATAAAACTTACTTAAATTTAGCAGCAGATTTTTGCCTTCTATACTGTATAATTGGTGCCATTTCAGCAGTTGGTGATTGTAATGGCATCGGAGTTAATTGTTTAGTAACTAATTGCTTAATAAAATCATCTAATGTCGACTTAAATTCTTTATCCCATTCTAACCTTAGAAGAGATCCTTGTCCAAGTTGACTTCGTTCTCCCAAATTACAAAATGCACATACTTTTCCTGGCCTAAAAATAAAAATATTAGTGAAACAATCAAAACAAATATTATAAACTATTTACCAAGTCTCTTGATATAATACATTTCTATCATCAATAGTAAGATCAACTGATGAAGAAGTAGGAGGAGTATTTTCATCAGTTCGGGAAACATTTGGAGATTTACCTTCAGCATCTTCCCTATTAATAATTCAAATTAAAAAATTATGTTAAATTAATTATTTCAGCTTCTATCTAATATACATTTATTTATTACCTTCTCCATCTTTTAATTTTTAAATTCAATTTTTTCATTTGTAAAGGACTATCATAAGATGTTGTAGGTGTAATAGCATTTCTGCCAGGAGAACATGATGCAGTTTCTTCAAAATTACCTTCTAAAAATAAATATTTGCAACACAATTAATATACTTCATAAAACTGTATGTATAAAACTAATGTACCATCTGTCTTAACAGCAACATCATTAGGAGTTTGATTAGAAGAAGTTTCATCAACTGATATAGAAGCTGCTTCTGTAGAAATACGTGAACAATCTTCTTCTTGATAATCTGGATCATCATCCATGTCTTCATTATCATCCTCATCATCATCTTCATCATCCTCCTCATCATCATCATCTAACATAGGAGCACCATTGTCAACATCTTCATCAGAACATGGATCTTCATCTATGTCCATTTCGTCAGATTTATCTAAAGATGTCTTAGACATCTTTGATTTGTCATTATCCATTTTCTAAACAAGATATAATATATTTAAAGACTTAAGACACTTTTAAAAGGTTAATGCTAATGGTGTTAATATAATTTACTATTATAATTAAAGAATAGTAATATTTATTACAATATTTAAATGTTCATGGCTGTAATTAGTGATATAAAAGTAATTAACTAATTTTCCATCACTAGTTCACTACCAAAAACAATTAATAGAATTCTTATCAGAATTTCTTATTATTTTCAAAGATTAAGTTTAATAAATGCTTCTGCAAGTTAATTATTTGTATTAAAATAACAAAATTATTATTACCTATAATAAATACAACAATACGATAAAGTGAGAAGTTATGATTTTTAATGTATCTACATTAAATAACATAAAAACCACTTTTAACATAAATGAGTATAAATCATGACATTTAAAATTAATAATAAATCTAAAAATCAATTAAAATTTAATATAATAAAATGCAAATATAAATAGATTATAAAATAATAAAAGTATCTAATTAAATAATTATTTATAGCTTTTCTTGAATATTTTATTTTAATAACTTAACAATATACCATTTAATGTAAAAAATATAAATTGTAGTATACTCATATATATTTATACAATGTCATATATTATACAAATTGTAATAACACAAAACAATTAAAGGTTAAAAAACCACAATGATACACTAAATTAAGAATATTTCATTTAATTCCTAATATAATCTATCTATAAATTATAGGAATGAGCTACAACTTATTTCCTCATTGCACTAACTACCAAATTTACAAGAATTTGTTTAAAAGTTAACGCATGTATGTTTTATAGTCAAAATTTTAATTGCATATTGTTTTGGAAAGGTATCAAAATTTTAAACAAGGGATTTAAAAATTTTTCATATGTCTATAGACTATAGGTACAAAATCAGAGTACATTAATGTTTAAAAATATTTATTTTTTTATAACAAAAATATTTTTGTTTATAGCATTAATATATAAAATACAACTATAACTTACAAAAATAAATACACATAATATTCAAATTCAACTAAAAAATACAATTTTATCATTTAAGTTCATAAATATTAAAAATAAAAACTACAATTTAACATTTTTACACATTAAAAATGAATAATAATAAAATATGCAAATATCATGAAACAAATAAATTATTCGATGTCTCAGTAAGTTGCATCTAACACAAGACTAATATCAAATATTGCTAACAATCCCCATTTATAATCCCCTTTGCACAAGCATAGTCTATCATCTAAAAATGGTCGACTCTCTTGTGTATGATGGACAACGAAAGATGAATTGTAGACGGCTAGTCGCCAATCTAGTGATGGTGTCGACGAGGGGGGAACAAAAAACTGCCCAAAAACGCAGAGTTTGCGGATTATACGGCGAAATACGCGGGAGACAAGTTCACCGGGCCGTCCTCTTGAATGAGTAGGCCAGCGGCAACGAACACGAAAAGCTCTGTCGTACGATCATAACGATCAATCCACAGGTATGAGCAGTGGGTTAGCGTATTATGAATTCAATGGTGGCGGCGAAACACTTACTTTGTGTTTGATCGTCGGCGACCGCAGTCGGGCAAAAAAGCATACTATTTGGCGGTAAATCAGTGGACCGCTTTGCCTTCAGGAATTGGGCGGGAATGGTAGTGGTGAAACGCTATCCGTTACGCCGAGGAGCTTTAGACCGGAGATTCCTTACATGGCGAATGGGCGCGAAGAAGCGGCTGGAGCACAAAAACTATCGACACACTACGGAGCGAGGCGTCGCCGTCGTCGTCGCGGCGATATTTATCGTCGTCGTCGTGTTTAGCGGCGGCGGCGGCGGCGGCGGCAACAGCGTCAGAGGCGGCTGTCGTCGGATAACGCGCGGGTGAGCGCGAACAACGACGCGAAAACGTAAACCGACGAAAACCGTACTGTAGCCCTACGGGAACGAGAAAAACATTTTTTCACATTATCGGATAATCAAAACAAATCGACAACAGCCTGGTACCACCGCGGGCTAACCAACAGGCTTGCCAACACTACGATGGCGGCGTGTCGCGCGCGCGTCCCCATCAGAGAATTCAGAAATTGTCCGTGGAGGCAGTGACGACTTGTGAAGCGGTGTTCCCCCCTCTTACCGTGAGCGATAGCCAAGGTCCACTGACCATATTATAGTTATACCAAACAACGAAAATATATTTTATATTCGCCATTAGGATATTTTATCGATACCAAATATTTGGAAGTAGGAGACTTGGACAAATGTCTCTTCGGACTTTGGACTTTTGCGCTTCCCACCGTTCAACTGTTCATTAGAGACGTCATGGTGTGACGATGACGAATTGTCTATGAATTATGACTTTAACAAGTCCCTCAACTGCTACTAACAATCACATACATTGATACATTTGGAGCTTTTTGGTTAGATACTAACTCGACTAAGTAACTAGTTATGTTTCCTTTGACTTATTAGCCAAATCATACTTTTGTGCAATAAGTACGGTTAAAGTCGTTAAAGATAATTTTACTCTTTAATCGTGGTAGTGTGGTATTTATGGTACGATCTACGGACAGTTATGTTGTCAGCTTTTGGAACATAAACTCAAAACACGCGCACCGCGTATGTGAACGTGAAATGCCGTACGGTCTAGAGCAGTAGTCGGCAATAGGCGGCCCGCGGGCCAAATCTGGCCCGTGAAGGAAAAATAAAAAATATTTTTTTTTAATAATGCTGGTTTTCCTCACATAATATATATTTTATCTATTTTATGATGTATTTAGAGATTACGATGGTGTTTATCGTTTATTGCTATTTACAATAATAGCTGCGATAACACAATTATTAACAACTAATATAGTAATATCTGAGTTTTTAGTTTTTACTGGCCCTCGAAATTCTCTTTTTTTTTTTTGATTTTCTGGACCTCCATATAATTGAATTGCCGACCCCTGGTCTAGAGCGATAACGAATTTATTAATTATTATATCATGTGACACATAACTTTTTAAACGAATTTAAACTCTTATCGGACTAATCGTGCTCGTAACCAGATATTATGATGTTCACTAACACATAAATTGTAAATTACACATAATTATAATTTATAAAGAGATATTCTTTGAAAAAATTTCTTTGTCATTAATGTAAGTCATTCATTTTACGTACTATAATGCATATTGGATTAATCTTTTTTAAAAAAATTTGTTTTTATTTATTTCCAATGACTGAAATATAACGTTGTAGCGACTAACAGTGACGTGCCCACGGGGAAGATGATAGAGATTAATTCCCCCCTATTGGACCAAGAAAAATTATTAGGTTATTAGGTGTATCTAATTTTTTTATCTTATGACATTTTTTTTTTGCCATATATTTATATGCGCCCCCTCCCCCAAATTAAATTTAAAAAAATATTGGGCCCCAAGCTTTTTATATTTGATACCATTTTTTTTTTTCTGCTTTTTCGACTATACTATAACGCGACCCGTGACCCATAATTTAAGAACCTCTGGTCTAGGACCTAAAATAGTGTTAATTCAAACCTTCTTTGAACCCCCCCCCCCCATTTCAAAATCCTGAGCACGCCACTAGTGACTATATAGTGTTGTACGATAAAAACTATAATATAATCGAGTATTCACTATTCGAGTGATTGGCTGAGATTCTCAACCAGGATTGGGAAGAAATTACTTACCGAGCTGTCCAGTGTCCACCTAGACCGGCCCAAGTTCCTAAACAATTTTTTTCTTAACCTATCAAATTTTATTAGTATCAAGCCCAGATCAAGAGCTTCAGGGGCCCAGAAGCCAATACATGGTTGTGGTCCCTCGTCAATAAAAACAATTCTTTAAAATTATAAAATTATACAATAAAACAAATTTAAACATTTTTATTTCAGTATAATAACGATTGATGAGGATAAAAATATTAAAAAAATATTATATTTTTATTAAAATATATTATATTTACACATAAAGTTTTGTTTATGTAAACAGGTTTAGTCGGTAGGTATCTGAATTATGAGTATCCATGACCGAAACAGTCACATAAACAAATTTTCCCAATTCTATTTTTAAATACAGTAATATCAAAATATAATATGCCTATTCCCAACAAACACAAACCTGGCTATGACGCTATGTGTCCCCACTTACCATACTATTGGTGGTAAACACAGTCGACGGACTCCATCGACTGTTAGCTCAAACAAGAAAAAAATAAAAATATTTTTGTAGGTACTAATGTAGGTACTATAAAAAGTACAAATTTAATTATCACTTAATGTAATTTTAAACCGAGAAGACTATGGGCCCTTATTCCTTAACATACGTGGGCCCCGGGGACTTGGCCTTTCCTGGCCCCCCCTTAATCCGGGCTTGATTAGTATATAACAAGATTTAATTTATAGACCCTTAATGTCTACAACAAGCACTACTATATATAGCTGTCATTATATCAATATAACGATTTTTATCATAGATTACATATTTACATTTTAGAATCAAATTTTTGTCTTTTGATGTAAAATAAATTATGGATAAGATATTTCCACTGATTCAAAATATCATCAAACCGGCCCAAATCTTTCGAATTGTTAACGGCCCACCGGGTTTTGCCCGGTAGCCCGCCGGCTCCTTCCGGGCCTGGCTGAGAAACTTCTGAGAAAAATATCTTTTACACGATATAAACGATATAAATTACAATATTATTTTTACTAAGTTCACAACGTAGATCCATCGATTGATCGCGATGTAGAATACTTATCGCTTAAAATATAAATTTCAGAGTTATATTTTTTCTACCGAAATTTAATGAGCCGATTGATGGAAACGATTATATTTACACTGCATTGCGTACATTTATCTACAATTTTCAACTTAAATATTATTGCGACCATAAACTGAACGGAGCGACAGTTTAGTATTACAGAAAACGTCGGAGCCTAGAGGGCAGATGAACAAAAACAGAATATCATTTTGATATCATATTATAACATAAGTATTTGTTGACGGAAGATATAGTATTTATATTATAGAAAACATGTTCGAATTACTAACACCATTGATTATTCTATAATCAATGCTAACACTAATCACTGCTATTTTTTGTGAAGAATCAAAATTTAGAGCATGGATCATTTGCTCCCTTTAAATACTTAACTAATTTAAGAAGGTATGTTCATTAGTTACAAACAAAACTTACTTACTGTGTTATGTAAACTGAAGATTACAAGACAGTGGTGAATAGAACAATACCTATCATAATTACTTTTCCGAATTTTCGGCTACATCATACATTCATACGTGTTGACAATGGCATTAGACATGTTATGCAGTCTAGTGACAAGACTATCGTTTCCAGACTTTCAATTTATTCTAACCTAGTTCGTGCTAATTATTTTTATTAGTGAGTCGAATAATGTGACTGTGCGAAACAATAAATAATGTATTAAAAATTAAAATACTATATAACATAGGTTCTTAACCGGGGGTCCATGGACCCCTTGAAGGTCCATAGATGGTTACTCAGGAGTCCACTAAGACATAAATTTGTTTCGATAGCGTTTTTAAGATAATAATAATATAATGTCTTGCTCGCATTTATTTAATTATTATTATTATTTTTTTTTTTGGCGGGGGTCCGTGATTATATTTTGTACTTAAAAAGGATCCATGGACCAGAAAATGTTGAGAATATAATGCTATATAGTAAATAATGGATGATTAATTTAACAAAAGACTTGTTATTTCAAAAAACATCGACGATTTTGAAAAGTTACTTAATTTTTCATAAGTTTAAATTGTTACAAAACATTATAGAAAATAAAATGTATTTTACAATTTTTTATTGTCATACTATCTTAAATTTTTCACTTTTTTGAAAGACAACGTACATTTTAAATAATAAATTTCATATTCCTATAAGCAAAATATTCTTTACGTAGTATTCTAATCCACAAAAATTAAATTTCGAACAAATACTTTACTAGTTTAATTTAAATAATATTTAAGTTTAGGTAATTACAGATAGTAGAATATAATTAATCAAGATTTTTTCAGGTATTCGGATATTCCTATACCACTCCACTCAACTCAAATAAATTTTGAAAATATTAATAAGTTATAGCTTTAATTTTATTAAAAAATAAAAATACATGTTGTCATAAGAAAAAGTAATAAAATAAAAAATAATAAATACAATTGTATTAGAAAAATTTTGTTTTTTATGATTTAAAATTATATGGAATAAATATTTTCAAAAATATCAATTATTTTTTGAATGATGCAAGTGACCTAAAATAAATGTATCTCTTGGTATATATTCATTATACCTATAAAGTATTTACGAACTTTGTTCGTGACTTTTATTAGTAAAAAAAATAACTTAAACCATCAGCAGAAAAAATAATTCATGTATCCGTGGATATATATTTTAACATCAATAAAATCATCATATTATATACACTTTACACATAAATACATAGTACCTATCATTGTCTGTATTATCAATGGACAATGATACTATAAAATAAATGATACAAAGAATCTTTCGTTGTGTTATTATATTTATTATGTTGCTGGATTCTGATTTTTGCTTAAGATTTTTGAATTTTGTATCTTAGTGAACATTTATTATTATTCTAATTCTTAAGCAATAAGTGTAATAATCAGTAGACAGTAGATAGTACCACTATTTATTACATATTATAATACTAAAAAATGTCACATTTCGAGATCGTAAAGATTGGCTTTTCTATTTTTTTACTATATAAATGTACATTTCAAGTAAATATTTAATCTACTAGCTATAGCAGTGTTCAAAAAAAAAAAACAGACAAGTAGAACCACTCTGCTGTACATTATAGATGTCGAATGGGTCACTATTATGAATGTCAGAATGATTTTAAGCGGAAACAATCTGTTAATCTAAATATAATATAAATTTTAATATTACCAAGTACATTCTGTGATATATATATATATATATTACATAACTATTAAAGTCATTAATTTTACTTTTGGTATTACACTTATTACAGTAACCGGTAAGTTGACATAATTTTTTTCTTGAATAATATAGTTGTAGTATTAAATCATAAAAATTTGTATCGCTCGAAATTTGAATTTATCTTCCTATAAATACCATAAAACACCAAAAACAGATTCATAATATGAATAAATATTATCTTAAAATAAATCAAAAATGTCATTAGGTATAGTAAAACTTATAATATTATAATATACGTATAAGTTTTAAATGTATACGAATGTTTTTAGAGTAGGTTTAACAAAATAATTAAAAGTCGTTTTTTATCGTTTAAATACAATTAAATAAATAAGTAATAGTAATAAAGTAAATAATTTTGTCAAAATTTAAACTTAAAATGTCTTTATGTATAAACTATACTTATTAAATACCTTTTAATAAATTTTTAAGCATTTTTACTCATTCATACATTTTTATTGGGTTTTATAAAAAATCTAAAAACATCAAAAATTTTACAGTCTATAAATAGTTCAAAGAAAATTATAATATAGATTCTTGGTGAAAATTTAAAATTTTATAGTCATTCCGCATTCATTTTTAAATTATAATAAAATAAAAAAATCAATTTACTCAAAATCGGATATAGTATAAAAATTCTCTCTCTTAAATTTTCGTTTGTTTTCCTGATTATAAAAATATTATAAGCTAAATCAAATTTTCTATCCAGAACTACTCTCAATGTTGAAAATTGAACCATTTTATCGATAACTAATCGTGCACTCAAATACTCAATACTCATACATAAAATAAACATCATATTAAAATAAATACATTCATCACTGTTCAGAATCCAAAATATAGAAATCTTTATTAGAAAAATATTTGGATTTCTTACTTGACATATTCAAGTATAATTTTTGGCTGGCCAATTAAAAGTTACTGTATATCACTATAATCTATATAAAAAAACCAAGGCCCCTACCTAAGGCCCTAAATAACTAATTTTATATAATACTAGATATATAAATATATGATAATAATTGATGAAGATATCTAAGTTTATTTATTATCGTAAATTTAAGTAGGTACCTGCTATTGTACTGATCATATATAGGTACATGACTTAGAACTCCAAACGACATAATAGTATAAACGTTAAATTAAATACTTATTCATGTACAAGTTATAACTATATACCTACTTACAGATAAAAGGTAGGTACTAATTTTACTTTTAATTTTTCTAATAAACTCTAATTATGATGGGCGTATTATTTACAATTACATTAACCATAAGTAAAGATTGATAAACTTATTTTGAGCAACTAAAGCCCTACTAAAGCAACTAGCTCTGTTTTTCCTATGTATGTATTAACTAGATGTGTAGCTAGGAATTTTTAGAAAGGGAAGGATAATGGTGTTTTCATTTTATATTAAAATTAAAATTAAACTTATGGAAGTTTCACACACTCTACATATTATATTGTAAACTGTAGTCACCTTCATATTAATATAATACTAAATATAAAAATAGTATATAGGTATTTGTTATAAAAATCATATGATACAATTTTACTAGTATTATTATTACAATGCAAGTCGTAATACTTCAACTTTTATTAAAATTAATTTAATAGGTTTACGGGAGCACTGATTGATTTACTAAAACCATAGATTAAATCTATGCTAAAACATAATAAATTGTCCACCTTCATTTTTTTTTCAAATTCTGATTTTTGAAAAATTTAAGCATTTGGAAGGAATAAGGGCCATACTTACAAATGTGCACGAAATAGTTCATAGTAAATTATAACGGTTTTAGAAAATTCATGAAAACTATAGATTTGAAAATTAAAGAAATTATTTATAAAAATATACTAACATTTTATTGTTTGTAAAAATATTCCAAGCATAATAAAAGTATAAGACTAAGTATTACATTTTTTTATAATTATTAAGAACTTTTATTCATTGATATAGTATAGTCGACTAGTTACTTAGTTAGTTTATAGTAGTACAGTTGAATAAAATGTAATGACTCAGAAACTGTTCATATAATCATACAAAATCAACAATTGATTAGTAATTTGGCATAGGTTTTCTTGAAAAAATAATTTCAAATTTTTTAATAAATTGTTAAATTCAATATTAATGAATGATGATACATAGTATTTAGTACTTAATTTTTGAAAAAAATATTCTATAATTCTAAATTTAATATTTAGTCTTATAAAATTAAAAATAATAAAAATCAGATAATATATATAATATATATATATATATATATATATAATTTATGAAAGCTCAGTAGGCCACACTGGTTCTAATTTTCTATACTCCTTGAAAGTTAACCACAATAACTAAAAAATGTACATAATATTAAAATAATAAACATTTAGAAATTAATTTTGAATTTTGATAATAATTTTAAATAGTTATTACTTTATTAGTTACTAGTTCTATATATTTTTTTTTTTTACATTTACTTGTTCAATTTAATTTAATGTCGTTCATTGTTATTACGTTAATTTTATTACTATAAATTTGGTAATAAGTATCTAGAAGCATTCATTTGTTATTGAACTATTTTTGCTATTTATTTATTCCATATTTTAAACTAAAAAAATTAAAATAAATATGGCAATTCCTAATTTAGCAGGTGATTTTTAGTTATTTATTAACATATTATATATCTTTTATGTGTATATAATTGTAACAATATTTTTTTTTCATTTATTTTAGCCCGAGGCTCTACAGGTTTAAATTTATATCAGAGTCAATCACCATATGACCCAGTCTCTACATTTCCATTGGATAACTCATCAACATTTAAGTTTATGTTGTTCAGTCCAAATGGAAAACATTTTGCTTGGATAAATAATTCCAAGTAAGCCTTAAATTGATGTTTTTTCTAAAAATATATTACATAATATTATCTTCTGATGTTCTGTTAGGGTTGTAATTGCTAAGACTTCTGATTGGAAAACTATTGCTGAAGTCGACTATCCAAAAGCTGCACAATTAGCATATAGCAGTAAAGGAACTTATTTGACTGTTTATGAGCCGTTTATGAGTAAATAGAAAATTATATATTTATAAACTAAATACTATATTTTGTATGATGAGATTTGTATTTTTATTACTCTACTTTTACAAAAGTTTATCATAAAATAATAACTATTCTTAATTAAGAAGTCATACACAGAATATAGGTAGTAAATAAAAGTTATCAAAAAAAAAATAATAATATTAATAAAATTGATACTTTTAAAATCCCTTCTTGATTAAGTATAAAATGTATAAATTTTCTGGTGGTTTTTTTTTTTTTAATGTTTTGTCAAATATCTATTATTGATAGATGTCTTGTTAATTAATAATTTTTCTATATTCTCATAAATTATTTTATAATTGATTTGATTTTTTTTAGCTACACCAAGTAATCCAAAAGGCAGTCCTAATGTGCACATTTTAAAAACAGCTGATGGTAAACTAGTGAAAAGTTTAGAATACAGAGATTATAAACTTTGGTAAAATATATCACAATAATTTTAAAAAAATTATATATTTATATATTTATGCAAAATAAATAAGCCTATTATTTTGTTGGTATAACTTTGTTGTGTTTTATAGGACTCCACAGTGGTCTTCTGATGAAAAAATTTGTGCTCGATTTTTGAATGGCGATGTTTTATTTTATGAGAATTCTAACTTTGATAATATTGTACACAGAATTAAAGGACTTAAACTCAATAACTACTCAATATCTCCAGGAAATCAACCACTTAATATTCTTTGTTTTATTCCAGGTACTTAAATACTTTGTATTTACTAATAATTAATAATTATTTATTTATTTTTATTCTTTCATTAACGCAATTAATAAAATAAATGAGTAAAACAAAAAATTTAACATCAAATTAAACAATACAACCATAAATTACTTATTAGTCTCATATAAACTGAAATAAGATATGTAAGTACTGATTATGCAGTTAATTATTTAGTATTATCTTATTACAGTCTGAATATTGGGGAACAATTAACACATTTTAACCTAAATTGTCTTAATAACAGACCTGAAACACAATATTGAAGTACTATAATTTGGGTTTAAAACTAATTATAATAGGTTGGTTTTTTAATAATTATTAAGTCAATTAATCTATTGTAATGATATACAATTTATATGAACATGTTAATTTCAGCTAAAACTGGCCCTTCAAATGGGCGTCTATTTCAATATCCAGATTTTAGCACTATTGTTGCTAATAAAAGTTTTTTTCAGGTATAATAATATTATTTTTTTTTTATTTATCATTCAAAAAAATTATATTTAATAATACTTTTATTCATAACTTTTAATTTGCTTATATTCAGGCTGATAGAGTAGAAATATTTTGGAACCAAAAAGGAACAGCATCCTTAATGTTAACAAGTACCGATGTAGACAAAACAGGAGCATCATATTATGGTAAACAAGGTTTACATCTAATTACTTCAAAAGGAGACACTTCTCAGGTTATAGTGAGTAAGTAATTCAGTATATATTTTAATATTTTTACATTTGTTTAAAAATGTATTGAATTTAATTAATTCCTAAAATTTAGATAAAGAAGGACCTTTATATAATGCTGCTTGGAGTCCATCTTCAAATGAATTCTGTGTTATTTATGGTTTCATGCCATCAAAAGCAACTTTATATAATTTAAAATGTGATGTAGTGATGGAATTTGGAACTGGAACCTTTAATGCAGTTTATTACAATCCATTTGGAAATAATATCCTTTATATATAATTATTAAATTAAAAAAAAATTGTTATTGTACTTATACATTTCTTTAACTCTATAAACACTTCTTCTCTTGGCTGGGTTTGGTAATGTGCAAGGAAATGCAGAATTATGGGATATAAATGGAAAGAAAAAGATTAAAAAAATAGAAATACCAGATACTACATTTCTTCAATGGTCTCCAGATGGTCAACATTTTGTGACAGCTACAACAGCACCAAGACTAAAAGTAAGTAATGGCTACAAAATCTGGCACTATAGTGGTGCATTACTACATGAAAAACCTTGGGGAAAAGGTGAATTATATCAAGTTGTTTGGCAAAATTATCCTCAAGGTACTTTCAAAACACCCAACATAGTTCACAAAGCTGTTGAAGGAATTGTTTCTAGTCAACCAATTGGTAAGTTAATTTAATAATTTTTGTTTTATTGTTAAATACTTTTATTATCAAAAAAATTTGCATGGGCTGGACCAAATTCTTTAAAATTCAAGCCAAGCCTTTTTTTCAAAAAATATTACAAGCCAGGACTGGGTTAGAATTTTTCTAAATTCAATCCAGATCAGTCTGAACTTTTTGTTTATTAATCAGATCTGATCCTGGCCAGAATTTTATTTAAAAAATTAAAAACTCTTGCAAAACTTATATTTTTTTGAATAATATATTAAATTATAGGTTAAAACTGAAGTAGGCTCACTTTGGTTAAAAATTAAATTATAGAATTAAAAAAAAAAAATTGGTATTTAAACAGTTACAAAAAAAATATTCTTTATCCAAGACCATAACAGGCTGTCAAAAAAAAAAAAAATTATTGGACAGTCTGGGCTATAAATTTTAAGCCCATGCAGACCTCTTATTAATTAATCTTATTATTAAATCGAATTCCTTTTTGTTTTTCTAATTTATTTGTAGCATCTAAACAAGTTTATCGTCCACCACATGCTCGGAACACTGATTTTAAACCTACTAGTTTACATGAAGATTCATCATTAGAAACAAGTATGATTTTATTAACTGTGTAATTTTGTAAAAGCAAATGATTTAATATAAGTTTTTAATGTAATGATACTAAAATATAAAACAAAGTATTGTTTTATCAAATCTAGAATCTGAAAAATTGTGTACTTCAATTAAATTATAACTATAGTTAATTCTATTTCCAATATAATAATAACCTACAAAATAACTAAAACATTTATTAGAAAACCAATCAAAAGCATATTTAAAGATGAAAAAGAAACGAGAAGCTAAACGACAAGCAAAACAGCTCCAAGATGAAGAGAACTCAAGCAATGATAAGCAAAATGCTATAAAAATAATTGAGGAACCCAAAGATAACGAAAAACAATTAAGGATTAAAAAGATTCAATCTGTATGTTTTATGATTGTTATCAATTTATTTGTTAATTATTAAATAATACTTTTGTGTTTGTTGTCTTACAGGATTTAAAAAGTATCAATCGTTTTAAAACTTTACAATCTTCTGGTAAAGAATTGGATTGTAACCAATTAGCAAGATTAAAACTTGAAAATGGCTTATTAGCTGAACTTAAACAACTACAGATGTAGAGAAAAATATTAAATTTAATAAAAGAAACAAATGTAATACTTAATTTATTATGTTTTATATTAATAACTATTGATTTCCTATAATATTCTCTCTGATAATATGTTTTATATTACTGTACTGTACCAACAGTGTTTTTCTTTAATGTTATAGACTTAAATAGAAAGACTTAAAAAGAAATTTCAAATAATAGTTAAATAAATGACAATATCTTTAAGTTTCCTTTTAGGTTAGAAGTTAAAATTTTAATACTTGAGATATAAATGAATAATAACTAGTATGAAATTAAAAGTGGTGAAGAAATGCTTTTTAAGAATTTAGAAATGAAAATCACTGGAACATAATATTTCTACACAGAAATTTTTAATGAAAGTGATTCAATTAATACTTATAATATACTTAATATATACTTACAAGCTGGTCCTACAGTGTTACTTTAACATATTAAATAATGCCTGTAGATTTACGTTGTCTTTAATTTAATGAAAAGCACATTTTTTTTTTTTTTAAGGCCTTTGAGACCATCTTGCCACAGTACAAATCCTTCCCCATTCTTCTCTATTCTCCGCTACCTCCTTCCAATCCATGTGATCATATTCCACTCCACCAGCACTTAGGAAATTTTTTTTAATTCCATCTTCCCATCGTAACCTTGGTCTACCCAGTGGTCTTTTTCATTTTGGGTTTTCTTGGAGTACCCTTTGAACCATTGAATCTTGTTTCTTAACTGCGTGTCCTGCCCATTCCAACTTACACCCGTTTGATCTCGACGATCTCGTTTATAATATTTGGTCTATTGAAAAGCTCCATCAGTTCTTGATTATGCTTTTTTCTCCATCCTTGAAAATCTTGATCATATATAGGTCCATATGTTTTGCGAAGTACCTTCCTCTCAAAAACCGCTAATCTGTCCTCCTCAGTCTTTTGTAACGTCCAACATTGTGAACCATACAATGGTTTTTACATACAAAAAAATGTTTCATACAAATTGGTCGTATGACTGTCAAGTACAGCTGAGTTTTAACTTCTTTTGACAGGACTTTTGAGCTTAGTAGTTTGCCTAGTGCATAGAAGCATTTATTTCCCATTTTTATTCTTTATTGAATTTCAATTTGACATTCATTCTTCTGCGTTACAACCGTGCCCAGGTATTTGAAATCTACTTTTTTGAACTCATACTGACTAACTGTTACGGTTTCAGTTTCCTTAAGGTTATCTAGTTCCGTACTAAGTTTCATGTACTGCGTTTTCTCTATGTTGAGATGTAGCCCTACCTTCTTTGCCAATTCTATTAACCTGCCGCATAAATCTACCACTTTTTGTTCCTCTTCGCAAGACTATATCGTCTGCATAGGCGAGTAGACTAAAGCAAGTTTTATCCATTCTTACTCCTTCATCTCTTCCAATATTTATTCCTCGGATCACCTTCTCTAATACTAAATTAAACAGTACTGGCTGGCGACAAGACATCCCCCTGTCTAAGTCCGGTTTTTACCTCCACCATCTTCGATGTCGCGTTTCTTACTTTGACTTTGACTTTAGTCTGTCTTATACTAGCTTCAACTAAATGTACTATTTTCCTTGGGAAATGGAAATGTTTCAAAATATCGGTTATGCTAGTTCTATCTATACTGTCATACGCCTTTGAAAATCAACGAAGATAACATGGAATTTCTTATTATATTCCCAGCTTTTCTGGAATAACTGCCTGATTATAAATATTTGGTCTGTCGTTGACCTATTTTGCCTGAATCCATATTGATAGTCCCCACCACTTGTTTGGCCAGAGGTTTGATTCTATCCAGAATGCAATATGATAATACCTTATATGTTGTATCTAGCAACGTTATTCCTCTATAGTTACTACAGACTTGCTTGTCGCCTTTTTTGTGTATTGGGCATATGTATGCTACTCCCCAATCTGTCGGTAAAATTTCCGTCTCCCACACTCCTTTTATCAACAAGTATATACTCTCTATCATGGAGCTGTCCGCATGCTTTAGAATTTCTCTTGAAGGTCATCTTCCCCGGATGACTTGTGGTTTTTGAGCCTTTTGATCTGTTGTTTGATTTCTTCCTGTTGTGTCCATATGTAAATGTATCAACTGATACTTCACAATTGAGTAACTTTTCAAAGTACTCTGCCTATTTCTCCATTATTTTTTCCTGATTCGTCACTAGGCTTCCATCGTCCTTTTTCAGAAATTTTTCTTGTCTTCTATATCCGCCTTTAAAGCTATTTACCTTGTGATATAGTTGTCGTGTATTGTGTGATCTGTAATCTTGTTCTGCCTCCCTTATTACATTTTGAACATGCTTTCTCTTTTCACATCTAAAAATGTTATGAGCTTCTTTTCTTTTGATTCTAAATATTCTTTCTTCTTCCTGGTTACTAGCATCATTTAGCCATCTTTCTCTTGCTATTTCCTTCTTTTCAGGGCTTCTAGGCATATAACATTAAACCAGGGTTTCTTCATTCTATGAGCTTTCCCTAAAACTTTCTCCGACACACTTCCAAGGGTATGTTTAATTATTTTCCATTGTTCATCTACTGTTTCGGGGTTTGAGTTAAATTCTCGCGCCATTTTCTGTATGTTCTCTTGAAATTCTCTAACTTTCCTACTATCCCTGAGTTTCTCTACATCATACCTGACAATTTCCGGTCTCATATTCCTACTCATTGTTTTTAGCTTAACTCTAAATTTGCTAACTACTAGGAAATTGTCAGAGTCGCAATCAGCTCCTCTGTATGTTCTTAAATCCGTTATGTTATTGGCAAATCTCTCATTTATTAATATATTATGATCTATTTGGTTTACGTGCCTACCATCAGGTGACACCCACGTCCCTTTATGTATGTTCTTATGCGGGAACATTGTACTCTTGACTTAAATACCTTTCCTTATGGCCAGATCCACAAGTTTTGAGCCATTATCATTAGTCATGTCGTGTAAACTGTGGGTACCAATAGTTGGTCTATATGATCTCCTTTTCCCTATTTTGGCGTTCATATCTCCTAGTACAATTTTTATTTTGCTATTACTAATCCCTTCTAGTAGTTGTTCTATCTCAGTACAAAAATCTTCTTTTTCTTGTTGTGATTTGTCCTTCGTAGGTGTATGTACGTTAATGAATACGATATCGAACCATTTAGTCTCTATTTTCAACAATGCCAAAAAGGATTGACATATTGCCCATGTCTATATTTCCTGCTTCCTTCCATCTTATTTCCTGCAGAGCTACTACTCCTAAACCATATTTTTTTCTTCCTTAATCATCCTTTGTGCAGCACCGGGTTTGTAAAGAGTTCGTACGTTCTAAGTTCCAAAAGTAAGTTCCGTGTTTCCGTTTCTATGTCTTTTTCCATTAAATCTAGTCCGAGGCTTGTTCTTGGGATCCTGAACAAAGCATTTTTACGAGGCAGGGTTGTTAGCCCTGCGCTCAACCCCCAACCTGGAGGACCAGACTACCCCTACCATTTAAGGTCAGGGTACGGCTACTGCAGTGTACTGGAGGTACACTGGGCGATGGGAGCGCCACTTTGCCTACGTCGGCAATGAAAAGCACATACATATTTTAAACCGTCACTTGAATGATTATTTGAACAAAATATAAAATATAGGACCAAAATTATGTATAATTTTAAAGACTTACAGACTGATGTAGGGTAAGTTAAAAAAAAAAATCCTACCAAGGAACAAAGTTCCCCATTTTAACCTTGGGAATGAATTTAGGAAAATCTAATGTTAGTGGATATCTACATCATAAAACATAACTACTAACTAAATTTCATAGTCATTAGTCATAGCTTCATTAATTAAGATTAAGCAATGATGAATAGGTCAGGATATGTTATTTTATACATTTAGATGATTATTTTATATTAAATCAAACTAAATAATGTTTAAATTCAACAAAAATTAAAAATTAATTATTAAAGAATTATTATTTAAACAACCAAGCTATGTTAAATATTCAAAATAAAAAATGGATGTGCATTGTATTTTTTATTAACAAATATTTTGTATTTGTTCCAATACATTTAATTCTATAAAAAAAGTACTACTAGCATTGAAGTGGAAGTCGTCTACATTTTTAATTTATTTAAACCGTTGTTTTATGTATAATATGTAGTCATATTAATATTATTATTTATCAATAATAGTGAAAGCTTATCACTCAATAAACGATTTTTTTTTTATTGATAACATCACATTGATAATAGTTCAGATAAATTAAACTATTAAATTTAAATTAAGCTGTGCATAGAATTCTTTCTTAACTTCTGCTATGTATTTTTATTATAAATAAAAATATGAATTTAAAAAATAATGTATGGATGTTGTCTCAGTCATTTTTCAAATGGACTTGGCGCAAACGGTATTATTCTTCAACAGCAACGTCATTAAAAGAACTAAATATAAATGACAATTTAAGTTCTTTCAAAAAACTGAAGTATCCTGAGAGCATGTTTGTGTCCTGTAATGATGTAGCAAGTAAATATTCAATATATAATGGCGGTAGTTTAATTAATTTAATTGTATTATATTTTTATTACAATTTTAATTTATTGTGGTTTGTTACAATAAGAAGGAAATTATTTTTATAATCTTATGTGCATATTTCCTATGTTTTTTATTATTTAATTTGTAAATATGTTTAGAAGATATTTCTGACACAATATCTGAACACTTGACCAATAAATATGGTAATAAACAAATTGAAATAATTGAAGCCAACCCTGGTCCCTGCTTAATTACACAACATTTATTGAATAAAACCAATTACAATATATGTGTATATGAAAATAGTTATAATGTGTTTAAAGAATTCTTAATGGTAAATATTCAATTTTGTTTAACTATGCGAGAGCATTATATGAGACCTATATTATTTATTTAAAAAAATGTTAATATGTTTTTTTAATTATAGGCAATCCATTCAATTCATGGTGACAGAATTAAAATTAACCCTGGGAATTTTCTTTTGCTTTGGAAGTTTGGGTATCAAGATCGAATGGATCGAGGAGACAGAGTCTCAAAGTTTCTATCAACTACTGGTATACCACAACAATCATGGAACCAAGAGAGTATGCTTTTTTTATTTAATTTTTACTTATTTAAAAAATATTGAGTTATAAAAAATTAATATTTATAGATCCATCACTTAAAATAATTGCCTCATTACCGAATAAGAAGTTTTTAAATTATTTGATTTATAGTTTTATATTTCAAACTGGATTGATGGTTTATGGTCGACCAGAATTTTATTTTTTACTCCCACCATCAGTATTTAAGGTAAAATATATTTTTTTGTATTTATTAAAAAAAATAATGTTTACATAAAAATTTTAACAAATATATAATTTTTGATTATCTTTCTCCTTTAAGCACTAGGTATTTATTGGAGAGAGATAGAGGTTTTTTTTAATAATAAAAGTTATAAATTATAAAACTAACGACCAAATACATTTAAGTATTATTATTTAATATAATATGATCACAAATTTCAATTTCATACCCCAAACCTCACAGGATGGATTATGTTATTTTGTTCTAATTACGTATAATTTAATTTTTAGAGGTATTCTTGTAAACCAATTATTGATAAAAAATACTATAAAACACAAACAATTCTATTTCAAACAATCTTTGATGTAGAATTAATAAAAACTTATCCAAGAAAAGCATTTTATCCACCACATATTTCAAAAACTGCTATTAAAAATGTACGTTTTAAAGAGGTTAGTTAAAAAATAATATGCATTATTTAAAAACAAATTAAAATTTTTTATTGTGTATTATATTAATTTATATTTGTTATTGTTTTTAGTTGAAAGAGGCAGATGAAAAGTATATGATCTTAGCAAAAGTAGTAGGCCGTCCAGATATTTTAAAACACGGAGGCTTAACAGAAGATTTATTAAAACCATATTGGTACTTTGTCAAACATCATACTCTAAGCCGTAAAAATTTTGTAATACCAATGTTAGAGTAAGTATTAATAATTTATTCTTATTTTATTTATTTCCTAGTAATCATAATTGTTGATAATTTTTTTACTTTTAGGCAGTGGATTCCTGGTTGTGGACCTCATTTTATTGCTCAAGGATACACAATTTTTACACAGTTTGGAGATCTCACACCTCCTCAAATTTTACGTTTATTCTTAAAATTTATTAGTTTGCCAGAATATAATGATTCACCGTTTCTAAATTCAATGGAAAGTAGAATTGCTAAATTATTACCTTCATTACAAATCACAACTGAAGATTCTATTATTGAACAATCTGAAAATAACACTTCTATAGATTTCATAGAGTTTAATAACAAAAACAATTAATTTATAAGTAAATAAGACTGAATTTAAAATTATAATGTTGTAATATTAATATTATAAATGATTATACATTTTTCAGATTGTATTTGTATTGATTTGTGTTAAATTAGTAACATTGTGAATATATTTAATGATTTGTTTTAAACTTGATGTACAAGGTTAGTTTGTACTTTGTAATAAAAGTTATGATTGGAATTATTATTGCTATACATTTAAATAACCATCTGAATTTCATATTATAGTAGTTTATGATATTTTAAAAATAATACATTTTATAAAAAGTTGCTTTTTTTGTTTAATTAATGATTTATATTGAATAATAATAATTTCTGCTAATTTCAAAATTGAATAGATAATCTATGTTTTATGTGTTTTATGTGAACATGTGGTAGTAATTGCATTTATTTAAAATAATTGTATTTATTATGAACTTTACTAAAAACTATTTATCATACAAAGAAGCATGAATTATATTTGATATATATGATTCAGTTCAATATTCCATTCAATGTATTATGTATTAATTGCTGTTTCATATTGTTTAATGATTGAGTAAACATATGTACATTTTCTTTATTCAACATTATGAGGGTATCCAATCTATCTTTAAAAGCAGCACGTTCTTCTTCAACCAATTCTAGTCTGAATGTTATAAAATAGTATTCATTATGATTTTTATTATTATTAACGTATACCTATATAGTATTACTTATTCTATAATTCTATTAATTTTTCATTAGAATTTAATTCATGTTTGAAATTATATGAAATACTATTTGTTCTTTGCTTAAATAATGTAGATGAACTCAAACATCTCATCTTTAATTTAAATTTTTCTAATTTTTGTTTTTCCATTAAGTATTTATTCTGTTAAATAAATTATACTGTTAATTTAATAAAATATTTAATTCTGATATATTTACTTTAAAATCAACAGCATCCAGAACATGTTCACAAATTTTATTATGAGCTATGGTTAATAGATCCACAAGTTGTTGGTTTTCAAATTCATTCAATTTCTATTTAATAAAACTATATTAAAACCTCGCAATGATATTATTCATCTGATATTGGTTATTTACCTTAAAAAAAATTTCTTTAGAATCCGTAAAATCTATTGAACACATATTATGAACTCTGTAAAGTTTTAATTTAATGTTTAGTACTTAATGAATTATCATATAATATATATCTATACTACTATTATTACTTAGTTGAGTCATTATTCTTTAGTGTTTTGGATTCTAAATGAGATATTCTTCTATCTTTATCATTCAAATCAAATGCTTGCCGTTCAATAATTTTTGTTGCCTGTAATTATTTTTTATTTTTTATTTTTATTTTTTTAATCATTTTAACTATCTATATTTAAACATACTTTATCATATTTTGATTGTAATAATGTAATTGATTTTTCGAATTTTATTACAGAGTCTTTAGTTTTAAGCCGTTGTATATTGTTATTACTTAACTCGGTCTATAAACACATAGAATTATTGAAAATTAATATGTACGAGTCTTATAGTAATATGTTAACAATACCTTTAATTGATCAATAAGTTGGTTATCTGATTCAGACTTTGATAATAATTTTTGAATTTGTATTCTTAAAACAGTGATTTCTACATCCAATGCTTTACTACAACTTTTCCAAATTTCCACCAATTTAGTCAATTTGCTAACCTTTGATTGAGCATCCTTTAATACTTGATCACTAGTTGCTTTACGTGCTTTTTCTAATTTTCTGGTGTTAACTAAAGACATTTTATGGTTAGAATAGATTTATAAAAGGTATTCTTCATTGTTAAACATTTTTATTTGAATATTTTATTTATTTATTCAAGGACACTTATAAAAGATTATTCTGGTATCACTTACCTAATAGGTACTTAAAAAATGTAGGTATCTTACAAGACAGTTAAATAATTCTTAAAAAAACAACTACAATTTTATAAATAAACTATATTTTTAAATAAATAAAATAAAATAGTAGGAGATTCTTTTATCAAACATTGATTATTTCTAAATCTATTAACGTTTTCGAAAAAAAAAATTTTCATACTTTCTAGTTAAAATAAAATGGACATATTTAAATATATATATATATTTATATTTTTTATCGTCATAATTTTTTAAGTTTTTACTTTTTTGAATGACAACATACATTCTTAATACCTTATTCTAAAGCTAAAAAAGTTCAGATTATTTCGATACATAAAAATTAAAATTCGGACGAGTAGCTTATGAGTTAAAGTATTTAAAGTTTCGATAAGCGAAGTAGTAGAATAATATTTTGCTGAGTATTTTCTCATATCACATTGCCTCACTAACCTTGTATGTATGTTGTTATTCAAAAAAATTAAAAATATTGTTTTATTTTAACTGGAAATTATATCAAAAAGAAAATATTTTCAAAAACAATAGATTTAAAATAATGAGTGTTTGATAAAAGAATCGACTAATATACATCAAAAAAGGATGTTATTATAATTTAACTTTTTATTAAGTACTTATGTTTATTAAATATTCTTATAATTAAAAATAAAAAGTACTTTAGTTGAAAATTTCTATAAATCAAACACTTCAAGATTCAAAAGCCAAACAGAATATCTAATTAAACAAAAATATCAATATTATAATCCAGTAACATTTCTCATATAGAACATCTTTAAAATATATATGTCAGGACTATAAAAATACCAGTTAAATGATGCAGTTCTTTGGTTTTTGAATCATTTTGTTTCACTTGCAGCTCGTTTACTTTCTGTTGCAACATTAATATTTTTTGCGCACGCCCTATATAATTTGAAGATCCCGTGCCCATTAAAACTGTTTGCATCACAACTGGATCTCCAATTTCATTAGATAAAGCCTATATCATTCATGATCAATACTGTTTTAAATGCTTAAAAACACTTTAAAAACTTTAATTCCCATTAAAAGAATCCTTACATTTTGAGTTATTTTTAAATCATTTTTCAACTGCATTATTTGGTTTCGGTAATTGCAAATCTTTTTATTCAATACATTAAACTTATCAGTCGAGTGTTTTATTTCTAAAAAATCTTTGTTTCCTAAAATATCAATTAAAAATATTAATAAATATTACTTTAATATTTTATTCACTGACAGTATATACTTGTATAATCATTAGATGCTGACGATTTAATTATTTGTAATTCTGACATTAGTTCGTTTACCCTCTCTGTTAACTGTAATATTTTTTTATTTGTAAAATATGGTATATTACAATCACATTTTAAACCATCGTTTTTTATAATATTTTTGTTTTCAATTATTGGTAACAAACGGTCGTTTTCATCTTCCAAACTCTATTTAAATATTTATATAAAAAAAATAAATATGTTTAAGATAATTATAACTACTTTACCTTACTTTTATTTTATGTAAAAGATGCTTATTTGTATTTTGAATACTTGTCATGTCTATAAGCTCAGAACATGATGGAATGATCATCTCATTCTAGATAGGTAATAAACAATTAATATTTTAACTTTTAACATTATAAATATATTGTCCTTTCTTTTATTATTACAAAACTCATCTCTCTATCTTGAGTTTTGTTATAAATTGTATTAACACTCAATTCATCATTTTCATCCATTGATTTATTAACATTGTCTACAATAGACTGAGTAAAATACTTTTTAATAGCATCCATAACCATAAATTAAAAAATACTATCACATATACACCTAATCCATAAGTGTATTTAATGTGATAATCAAAGATTAATATTTTAGATAAACATTGCAGCTCCTAGGTGACAACTGTAAAGAAAATATATTATAGATTTTATTATTATATGTAGGTAGTACCAGCTCATATCCAAGTATTATTTTTTTTTTTACATGGTTTTAATTGTCTCATTTGTAAATTTCACTCACAATGATTAATTTTGGTGTCTCAATCTTGCAAACACACAACATACAACTTTACTAGAGTGTCCAAAATTGCCTTTTTGTAAGTTGTTTTTACGACATTTTAAACTTTCTTAAGAAAAAATTATTCTAGATCAAGTATTAATTTTTAAAGCTTTTTTCCCATAAAATTATTATATTATTTTATTAATTTTTAATGACTAAATAATAATAAATAATCTATAGTTTAAACTTCTAATTTTTAATGTAGAAATAATAATAATTTCATACGACCAGATTAATCACTTAATTAATTGAATTAATAATATTTAATTTAAAATAATTTTTGGCATAAAAAAATAATCAACTTTAAAATTTTATTGTAATGTTATAAACCTTGAACCCAGTACAAATCCACAATTAAATATTGCAGTAGATTAGTAATATTAAAAAACCCACATCACGAACTTCTTACTTCGTATTCAGTTATCGTATTTTTTTAATAAACAGTAATAAAAGTTGAATGTATCATAAATTAAATTATGGGTACCTGTCTGAATTGTATGCCGTATACCCACAATTTTATCTTTGTTTATTTAAATTTTACTTTTGATTTTTCTTTTATAAAAAAAAAAAAAAAAAAAAATCATGAATAGAAACGCTAAATTATAGGGTGTTACAAGTTACAACTGATTAATTTCTAGATTGAAATATTTTTATATCCGAGTAAACATTTAATCAAACTGTACCTATATTGCTGAATATCGTGGTCTGTTTCACAGACATACGTATCAGCCACGTCTATAATTGAAACTAATCAGTTTTTATTCATGGATTTTTTTAAAAAAATAGAATAATCAAGAATAAAGTTTAAATTGTGCACATAAGTGCATGATGAATAAACTGAAATGAAAGATAAACTTGTGGGCACACGGCATGCAATTCGGATAAAACCTTCTAAGAGGCGACATGCAATTGGGATACACCGAGTTGCATGACATACCGGTCTAGGAATGAAAATAGAGGAAATAAATTACCATTATCTATACCTATATGGCTATACATAGAGCCAAAATATAATATTAAAATGATTTTTTGAGTCAGCTTTACATGATCCCGATTTCTAAAATATTGTTATCCAAATCGTTTAACAAAGTGTGATTGTAAGTATTATCAGAATATTAAATGAAGTAAAAAAAAAGGAAAATTAGATGATTGCTCTATAATTATAAAGTATCGAGCACACCTCGTAATTGTGTAAGTCAAACAATTTTTAATGTCCAACAACATTACATTTATTACGTCATTAATGGTTAACTTTGAATTATAATAATAATTAATAATGCATATTTATATAATTTATTATTTTTATTAACTTTTGAATCAATACCGCCTTTTCTTAAAAAGATGCGAATAGGTTTGTGATATAAATAGGTAAAGCTTAAAATTAATTTATTGTATTACTAGACATTTTCTACTGCAAAATATTTTGTTGTGCTTCCAATAATCTGACTTATTGATGGGTTTTTTTTTTTATAGTAAAAGCGTGTATTTTAAAAATTGAAGAAAAGAATTTTATTCAGTATTGTTGGTATTGAGTCTAATTTTTGATATCTAATATTTTTTATAATAATAATACATAATTTTCGTTGAGTTTATAAACATCAATAAATCTCGTAATTCAGGAGAAAAAATGTGTATATTTATTTAATATTCTACATTTGTATTATTTTTTTATTTTTATTGATTTTTATCAATTAAAAATTCAACATAAAACGACCATCAAAGGACGTGCAAGAAATAGTACAAGTGTCACCATAGTTGATAGTCCATAAATTTTTCAAACTTTGGAAACTAAACTGGAACTTCATAAATATTAATTTAAAAAAACATTAAGATTATCATTAGCAAACTATTTATTGTTTAATTCACATTTTTCATGATTATTTGCTAATTGCTTCTACTGACTTACTTCTTACGTATTAACTGTCCTTGTACATATAGTTGCCTACATAAAACTCCTTTTATTAACCTTAACCTTTCTAGTATGTTTGTAGGTTTCTACATAAATTAATTTACATTTGTAGTATATCTTAATATATATTTAATAAATGTATTTTAAAACCAAAATTACGATTTTTAAACTAATCATCATGGATTAAAAGAGAATTATTTATCAAATATGTTTATAAATATAATATTTTATTTATTTAAACACTTTTTAATTCCCTTCTCATAAAATAATTTAAAATACAAATAGTCATAATCAATTTTATATTTGAGTTAGATAATTACTTAGGTACTATTATATTAACTTTATAAATACATTTTTAAACTATTTTTTATCTAAGGGTTCAAAATATCTTATACTAGTCTTCTTTAAGAAATGAAAGGTTATTATTAATTATAGAAAAGGATAAAAAAATAGTTATAAAACGCCTGTATTTAATTAATTATAGATATAATTTAATTTATTTATAATACATTTCAACAAACAAAATTTAATTACAATAATATTAACTTAAATTTTATATTTCAACTAATTTCCTTGGAATAAAAAATCTATACAAATTATTTACAATAACAATTTTTTTTATTCTTTGAAAACTGGTTCATTCATGTGAAAAAGTACAAATGAATGTTATTCATAATATATTATTTTTTTAAATTTCTAATAATTATGTTTAAATATATGTAAAAGAATATCGATTCCGAGAATCGCTCAATTTGTAAACCAAACTACCATCAAGATCAGCTGATTCTTTGGTCGGCATACTTGACATAAAATCTCGACAAAATTCAAATACTGAAATAATCCATCATAATAAAATAAAAATTCATTTTTTCATCAAAAAAATTAATTAATACTTACAAATACTAGATGTATCATCCTCAGATAAAAGATATGTGTCCAAACTACTTGCTAATTTCCAACAAGAATCTACATATTCTTGTTCAATTTTTTCCATTAATTCAACATCAATATTGTCTTCTAATACACTTTTCATCCATAATTTTGTAAATTGCTCACATGCATTCCATAACTAAATGCAAACAATATTTTTAAGATTTTAAACTTTTATTTAGAATTTATTTAATAAATACCAATGCCAATGACTCATAAGAAAATTTTTCCATTGAACCACTTAACATGCATAATCTAATAGCCTGGCTAACATGATCTTCAAGTACTGTAAAACAAAAGTTTCTAAATAAATATGTAAAAATTATTTGAACACATTTGTCATAGAACAATGAATTAAAATAAATATGGAATTCTAATCATCATTTAATTATAGTATTTGTCTTTTCAAAATTTCATAGAATACATAAATAGCTTCCAGATTAAGTACCTATATTTTAGTTATGTCATAGATTCAATTTCTGTTTGTTTTGATAATGATAAAAGATATTTATTTGAGTGACACACTGATACATTACTTCTGGAAAATTATAAAGTTAAAGTATAATTTCATTCAACATTTAAAAATTTTTAATAAAATAGCTAAAGCTGCTAAGAAATTAAACATTAACATTTAAAATGGACTGGAAAATGAAAGGCAAGTATACAAATACAATTTATTATTGATATGAATATCAATTGAATTTATAATAATTAATTTCTTCTGAATCATTTTTACAAAATCTTCAAAATTCTATTGAGAATAATCAATTTTTTTTATGGTTTCAAACTTTTCAAAATGCTCATGATATTATTCTGTATCTGTTATTAAATCTCATAATTTTGAGTCTGATAATAAATGTTTGGTATACATTGCTTCTAAATAGGAATAAATATATAAAATGCATAGCCTAAGTTATAATCATATTTTGAGTGTTTTCTAGAATAATAGTCATTCAGAAATAATTCAAATAAATAAATCTTCCACAGGAGTTACAGATAAATTTACTTCAGATCTTAAAAAAAATCATAATTTATAAAAAAAAAAATTAGTTAGAAAATATGAATGGAAGAATAATTAAGTTTAATAAATTCTAATAATCAACAATAGATAATTAACTATAAAATATTATAATAATAAAAAATTTTCAAATTTCAAGGATATACTCAAGGATAAATCATAAAAAAATATACTACTTTTACTTTTAAGTATATATATATATTAAACAAGTATTGTTTGAAATGTTATTTTATATATTGAAATTTAAGAATATTTTTAGGTTGTAGATAAATTTTAAAAAAAATAATGAAAAGTCGCTGGAATATAAAATAAGTATCTACTGACAAATAATTATTATTTACATTAGACTAGAATTAATATTTAAACAAACAAATATACAAATACTAACCTTTTTCAAAAGCATCCAAACCATTTTTTACATTTTTAATACTTTCAAATAGTTTAGAGCCCAGATATTTTGACGCAACACTGAAGAAGTATGTTTGTAGTTTATAAGTAGTTGACATAATCCATAATCTAATAAAATACATTCGCTTCACATCTAATGAGTAATTATACTTATTTAAATCTGAAATGTTGTATAAATAATTGACCATTACTACATTAAATATTTTAAAATAAATAAAGTATACATATATTTATTTATTTACCTTTAGTTTGTAACTGAGAAATCATTGCAACAGCTTGCTTGGCTGTTATTAATAAACGAAAAATTTTGTTATAGTTAAAAATCACCTCATTAGTTAAAATTAGGCTTAATGGAAATTTTACCTATGAAAAAATAAAAATATAATTAATAAGATCAGAAAAATAAAAATCATATTTACTATTTAGAGATTTAAACTCACATCATAAGTAATTGTAATGCGTTCAAGTTCATCAGCAAAATTATCTTTGAATACATCATTTTCTCCAAAAAAATTATTTTTTTCAGTTTTATAGTTCAGTGATAAATTACATGAATGATTACTAGATAAAATTGAACTATGGTCATCACTGAGAAGTGAATAAAAACAATTGTTCAAAAATGAATTTCGCTCAATCTATAATAATTCAATTTTAATTTAAACATTATAAGAACTTAGAATAATAACAAATGAAAACATTGAAAAAATGCAATATTAGCAAAATTATAATAATACATTATTTTGTTTTAAATATCAAAATAATATTATATATTTTACATTGAATTACTATTAAAAAATGTTTGTTATTAATAAAGAAGAGATGGGTGGGAAGAGCTCGGAGGTATAGGACAAGGGTTAGTAAAGTAAAAAAAAAAGAATAAATTTTACCTTATATTCCATAACTCGATCAATTTGAACAGACTTATTCACATCTTCCAAAAAAATTATATTGTACAAATTCTTCAAATGATACACAAATTTATTTTTCTTAAGAACAATATCTCCGACTTCCTGTCCAATTTTATTTATAGCTTTTTGAATAACCAATAAAAACATATCTACCATTTCATAACTTGAAGGTATGGCCAATTCAAAAGTTGATTTATCAGTAAATCTAATTAGTCAAATAAAAATATAAAAATAAAAGTTATTATGATTATTATAAAAGTTATTGATTATTGAAGTGAAGTATTTAACTGCTAACTAAACAAGACAATGTTTGATCTATCAATTGTTTTTATTTAAAGTTAATAAATGAATTATTGTTTTACAATGTTATTTAATCAGAGGTAAAAGGTACTGGGATTGAATTCTCTTGAATTGAGTTAAAAAATAAATTACAAAGATTAATATTGATAATTGAATTGAGTTAATACAAAATTCATGTTAAATAAAATCTTATTTTACCTCTCACCTTCCTTCAAAATATCCTGAACAAATCAGTTTTTTACAAAAAAATGCATGCATAAATAAAATAAAACATCATTCATAATGAATAAAATTGATTATGAAACTATACATTTTATAATTTTATCTACTATTTATAACATTAGAAATCAAAATAAACACAAAAAAATCAAATACTATATCTATTCTATAGTACACTGAATAATTGGAATTTCATATTTTATTGAATGAGTTTTTATAAGCAATATTTTTGATAATTAATTTTAGAAATTTTAAATACTATAAAGTAAATCTGAAAATATAAACACATATAAACAACTTACATTAGATAGATAAAACTGGAAGCTAAAAGTACATTTACACATTATTAATCATAATCTTTATTTAATTTTTACTTTAAAATAATTCAATACAATTAATAAGCAGATACTTACTTATAATGGACACAAGCTGATGCTAACAATGGAAATTTATTCCAGTTGGAAGGATTATACTCAGTCAAAGGATTAATGTAATTTTTCCAGAAGGTATTAGAATTTTTTAATTCGATCAAAAAACTATTAAACAATTCACCTAAGGATATTTAAAATTAAAGAAATTTATTTTAAATAATTGAAATAAACAGTTATTTTAACATACCTCTAGGAACTTCACATAAGACAATAGCATCATTACTCATTTCTGATGCTACAAACACTTTCCAATCACAATTATTTAAAAAATGAATTAAATATTCAAGAATTGGCGGTACACTTAAATTACAATCTTTTAAATATTCATGTATATCTTTAAAGAATATATTGAATGCTATACTACTGTCTCCTTCATAATTATATATAATAAATTCATTATGCTCATCAACTAACTGTCCGGCATGAATCCATAATTCTGTCATATGTACATAAGGTTCAAATGCATATAAGAATAATGACACAACAATTAATTTTTGGTAATCAATAATTGCAGTTTGAATGGACCAAAATAATACTGAAATTAATCTGAAATTTAGATGAATATTCATATTACTATCATCATACATTTATGATATACTTAAAGTAAATATTATACTTAATTGAAGTTTTCCAATTATCAGTAGACTCCCAATTTGAATCTATAGCTTTTGAATGCACAGAATAAACAAAAGAAATAATTTGAAAATGCATATACATTTCTTGTTCAAATGATAATAATGTGTCGTGACCAACTAAAATAAATTAAGTTATTATTAATTTTTTAAATGATAATAACAAAAATAAAAACTTACTACAATTTTTAATTCTATTTTCAATAACAGTCATTTTATTAATAATTGGTTCTAAAATACACTCCAATCCTTTAGCATATGCTCTTAATGTATAAGGTACTTTTTTTAATCCTTTTAAATGACATGTGAATTTTATTAGATGGTTAATTTTTTTTATGTATGGTGAAATAGTTAAAATCCATCTATTAAATACCTCCTAAAATAAAATAAAATATTAATTATTGATTAGTTCATTAAAAAAAAAGGTTTAAATTAATTAATGTATAAAAACAAAGTTCAAACTTACAGGTGATATAGATGATGAAATAGTAATCCATCCAAATAATTTACTTTGTTCTTCTAAACTGTATCGAAGAATATATGATATAGTTGAATTGTTTTTTAAACACTCAAGTATAATGAAATTATCATCCATAATTTTAAATATTTTGTTATTTTTGTATCTAAAATCAAACGTTTAGTAAACATTAATTTTTATTTATACAATTAGTTGTTTTTATTAATTGATTGACATTAATATGAAAATATATATTGCTTACTTTTTTAAATTAAAATAAAAAGAATATTGTCCCTTTTTAGCAATTGTTTCAGATTCATTGAGCCACCATAATTGAGAAACTCGTTTTATCAATAAATTTCTAGCTATATTCTCGTGGGAAAAAACTAATTTAAGATACTCCCTACTAGTTAGAGAATTATTTCTATCTTTTATTCCATTAACTTTAATATTCTGTGGTGATACAACACTTAATGAACAAAAATCAGCCTCATCTTCATAATCTGTTTCAGAATCAGACTCTATACAGTACTACAAATTAATAAAAAGTATTATTAATTATAAAAAAAAATATATTTCTGTTTATTTTTAAATATTATTTATACTTACAGAAGTCTTACCAATGCTTAGTAACTCTTGTATAAAATCAGCTTTCCATGAATCCCCAAGTACTGCAGTTTCGCCTTCTAATTCAATTCTGACTGTGTCTAAATTAGTCTTACGAAAAGCATTTCTAGACCCACAAGGATTATTAGCCATATTAATTATCATCCCTATGATTGCCCATTTTATAACATCAGATGATAGCTACAAGACATTGAATGGCATTATTATTAACATAAATTATAATGCACAATTAATATAAATACTTTAGAGCGATTATTGATATTTGAATAATTAATAAATCGGTGAATACGCATTTCAAATTCTTTAGCTTCCAATGGAAATCCCTGGACATGATACTTTTCTATTAGTCCCTTAACATAATATTCAACATCTGTTTGTTTAGGATGTTCATAATATATGTTATGCAAATTATTTATTATTTGAACGTATTTCAGATAGACTTCATTAAAGTTCTAGAGCAAAATTAATACATATTAATAAACTTTGTTTTAATAAATATGCAAGAAAACAAACTTTTAATCCAGTCATCATTTTGATAAGTTCTATAATGTTTGCAAGTGCTTTCGATGACAAACTAATAACAGGCGTATTATCCATTTTTAATTTGCTTCAAATAATATTTCGTACACGTTTATAGTTTTGAGCTTAAAATACACACATAATCAAGTGAACTAAAATATGAAAACGAAAAAAATGTGCTGATGAAATGATATTTAAGAAGATTTATAATTCTTTCATTAATTCATTATTTATTTACTAATTTTAAACTCGTAAAACAAAAATTTATAAAAATTGAAAATAATTTTGGCGGTTGCGATTTAAGATTTGTAATGATTATCAATAAGTTACGAGAGCCTTATCACCAGGCCACTTCCAGTGTTGTTGTGTCAATAGTATAGTACTATACTATTGGGTGGAAGGGAATGATTCATAGATAATATAATTATATAAGCACAGAACAGTAATACAAGCGATATTTATTATTTATCATCATCCAAACCATAGATATATTACATGTGTATGATCCAAACATTGATCTAAACTAGATATGCAGCTCTATGGTATTATTGGTATTACGAGTTATGGTATAGCTCTTGTTTTCATTGTTTCCAGTATGAATACCACGGACTAAGATATCTTAGTCCGTGATGAATACTGTGAATGTACGATTAAAAATGTAAAATATAATATTTAATTTAAATTGTGGTTTTCTTACATTTCACACTCTAATACTGTCCAGTACTCCAGTCCATGCTATCTTAGATTCTTAGTTGATTAGTTTGTGATTTCCATCATAATAAATAAAAAATATATTTCGATCACTCATTTATCAAACATCAATCCCGTGTCATAATTATCATTTAATCAATTAGTTATAGGATAAGTATTAGGTACGCATAATATAAGAATTCAAGTATGTTCGTTATTTTCAAAAGGATCAAAGTAGAAACCAGAAATGGGAGTATTAACTATTAAGCCAATCGAAAATACAAAAATTGATAATTACATTATCTATTTCTGAATTTGTTTAAGTACTACCTACCTACTTTTCAGGCAGATCCATTCATTCATTAAACTTAATTGATTAAAGATGTACCAGACAATATCAATTTGTGTCTGCTGTCTGGTCTCATCAAATTTGACTGGAACAATACTACAATAACTACAAATTTTGTAAAAAGTAATAAATAGGTAGTGTATAATCAGCGATTAGTAATTTCATACGTGAATTCTAAAGATATTTACAATTATTAGTTAAACTAATATAGTAATTAATTTAATAGGTAGTGACATTAATTATTTCAAATCTAAAATTCACAATATTAGAATTGATGATTAATAATAATGATAGGTATACCTATATGTATATATATTTTTTTACTTTATTTGAAATATAGGTGCCAATCTATACCTTATAAGCACAATGAGTACATGTGATAGAGAGTGAAATTAGTAATTAGGTACATATATATATTATACATTAATACAACTAAAAAAGAAGAGAACTAACATAAACATAAATAATCATATTCATATAAGAAATAAATATAATATAATACATATCTATTTATAATGTTCTGATTAAGTTTAAAGTATCTCAGATTACCGAATTAAAGAAAATACCTTCTATAGATCCTAACACTAATGTTTAGTAAACTAGAAAACCCTAGTTCATAACTTGATTTTTTTTAGTAATGAATATTTTTTTGGGTAATATTGATTTAAATACAAATAACACCTAGTTGAATACTAGAAATAAAACATGAGTTTAAGTAGAAATTAAAAACTTACCATAAAAATATTTTTTGGTGGATTAAACATAAAATTAATAGATAAGTGTTTTGTTTGTTATTTACATTGTTTTTTATAATAAAAGTAACATACAATATCATTTAAGACAATTTTTTAAAATAAAATTATTGAAAAAATTGAATTTGAAACAAATATGTTTTCTTTAATTTATTATATATCTTGTTATGGAAGCAACAGTACTAAAATGTTCATGATGATCAAGGAACGGTTATAGACTACAGTACGAAGAAATTTCTAAAAAAAAACCTTGTTTCATTTTTATTGAATTTTAGCTGTAAAGTTTTTTAATGAACTTTTATTAATACAATTTTATAAAGCTAACTTTTTTTGTTTATTTTTATAAACTGGACGCAAAGGCAGACACATAAAAAAGTTTTTAGTTCTAGAGAATTAGAATGTACATATAATGCATATATGTAGGTACGTACCTACTGTTAAATATTTCAAAAATAAAATTTTGATTTAGATACGTCAAAATTGCCAGAAAATGTATTCTGTTTATTAATTATTATAAAAAGAGGTAGGAGAAGAGTACTTATTTGAAAAATAGAAGTTCGTATTATCACAGCGTATGACACTTCTTAACTAGAAAAAAAAAAGAATTAGATAAATTTAAATATTTCTAAAATATATTTTTTTGAACAATAAAGTAAAACAAGGTGACAATGCTTGGTGATCATTCTGTATATTCAGATATTCTATGCATTATAGAGTTGTAGACTCTTAAAGTCGTGTAGACTATGGATGGCGGCCATCCGCCTATAAGCTAAAAACCTATAAAAAAATCATAAATTCTGAGATACCTATTGATTTTTGAAATATTGTGAGCCATAATGTTAGAAACAGGTTAATAATTTATTATTAGCATTTCTTACAGCCGTTATTAATCATAACTAGGGCTCGGAAGTTGATGACCTTAAAAAAATTAAAAATTACATAAAAAGTAATAAATTTTTGTTCTAAATCAGTTAAAGTACATTTTTTTTTAAATCTATAAAATTCTTCTTTGTAAATTTATCAAAGCTTACAAATTATTCAAAATTGTTACATTGTACTATTAAAGCTTATTTTATATTGTCAAAGGTAACGACGATTATCAGTTAATAATATTTATATTTTGAAAAACTTCTTTTCACGTCCACTGAAGTGTTTGGGAAAAATTTGAAACTCTAATTAAAAATACAAGAAATTGAACTAAAAAGGAAAGTATGACCTAAAAATAACTTAAATAGTAAAAAAAAACCAAAAAATATAAAAAAAAAAATGCAAAATGCATCAACTTCTGATATTTATGATTCATAACAAATAAAATTGATTTTTACTTAATATAAAGCTTAGTTTTATTAGTATTAATGTAAATAATTACTTAAAAAAAAAAAATTTTACCAATAAAAAAAATGGAGTAAACAAAAATTAAATAAAAATAATACAACTTAAAAGCTGAGGTTTTATCATCATTATTATATTTTTCACAAAATATGACCAAATTATTTTTCCTCTGTTAATTTTTGGTCTGGAAAAAAAAATTCTCGACTTGAAACCAGTTTACCCCCGAGTTTTGCCGGTTTAGGAAAGTATTAAAAATGACAATATACCAGCTGGATACCCATCGAGCAGTGACTTTCTATATTTAAACTTAAGTTTGTTCCAATATCTTCACGGATGTATAGAACAAAGTTTTTCTCGTATCAAAAACATATTGAGTGAAAATTGGCATACATTTTTCTTTGAAAATTTATTCAAATCTTTACTTATCAAACTTATTTTAAAGAATTATTTAAACAGATATTTTTTTTATATTTAAATATATATTTCACATTGTAAGGTCATGTAAAAAAAGTCACACGTATTTGTGATAATGGAACGTATAAGATGCGTGCGTGTTACCAGAATCAGGAGATGGCTGAATAAGGGTCTTTGCCACGAAGGAGTAAGCTAGTTTCTTAAAATTGTAGAAGCCTTTAATGAAGGCGTCAGCCACTCTAACCGGCTTGACCATGTATTTTTCAGTATTACTTAATAATATATTAATATGCACCGATCACTTAAGCAATACTTCTCAACAACACAAGATTCTGTGAACGACAACTGGACCTCCTTTTTAATGAGCTAAATTAGTGTTGTATTTATTTGGATTCACGTATTCAGTGAGTTCTTTATTTGTGTAACCTTAATTTTTTTACAAGCATAATATATATAACTGCGAGTCAGGTAAGGTGGCATGATCAATATATATAGTATAATATATACTCTACATTATTATTATAGTTTATATATTAATCTTATATTATGGTGTACTTGGTCAAATTCTCGAAGATTAGATTAGGTTAGATCATGACCTCGAAAGCCCTCCAAAGATCAGGAGGAAAGTATAACGTAAATCTATTATATTTTTATCTGATAAGTGATTTTATTTTCTAGCACTTATAAATGTTGGCAAGTATCATCGCGTAGATCTAGGCCCTAGTATTCTATAGGCCTAGCTTCCCTTAAGGCCCAGGTCTGGCCTTTGGCCTCCTCGCTTTATTTTTTTAATATTTCTCATTTATTATTACGTTATTACAATAAAAAAACGAAAAAAATTTAAGCTCTTCGAAATTTCAAAAATCTATATACAATATAATAAACATATATTGCCGTTTTTCTCCATCAATAACTGTTATGGAATTTTAACATTGAAAAATGATTGCTGTATTAATAATACTTATACCGATTGTTTCTTTTAATTTTTAAAGAAACACAAACATTATTGTAAAAAAAAAGTTTTACCTTAAAAAATACTTGAACAATATAGCTATATAGTAAAGTTAAATAAAGTAAACATAATTTTTCATTGTATTTTATTAAAATGATATGCTAAAAATATTCATGTTAGTCATAGTTTAACCATGTACTCACTTTAATAAATCTATAGAAAGTGGTGATAACTAATGTGTGTTGTTACTAGTATAAAATGAAATAAATAAAACTATGTTTAATGCTTTAATGAATAGTACATTTTCAATATCAAAAAAATTGTAATTTAACTTCTTTAATAATATTTTAATAAAAAGTATCTATTTAAAAAAAATATTCAATTTATAGGGGTATTAAGAAAATTATATTTTAACACTTTACATAGTAAAGAAATTAACCTGTTACTATAAACTGAATAATAAAAAAAAAACTAACTGTGTTTTTGTATGGTTTTCTATGGTGTTTTAATTTTTATGCAAGTTTTGAAAGTTAATTAAATACAAAAAAGGTAACTCTTTAGTTGCGAATAGAAGGGTTGGTTAAACACACATCATAAAACAATCTAATGGGATGATAACATTAAGGTGAGAGACCTGGGTACAAAAGTCGTAGAACGAGTTGCGCTGGACACTGATTGGTGAGTTTTAGCTATGAATAAGGAAAGATAATATAATATATTATATGTTTATCAGAATTCAGAATGGTCTTGAAGGCCGACAACTACAAAGAAGAATAGATAAATTTACTCAATAATATAAAAACTACA